GGGCGAATGTAAGGGGAGCGAGAGAGAGAATGTGAGGGGGGGTAAGGGGGAAAGAGAGAATGTAAGGGTGGGGTGTAGCAGGAAGTGAATGTAAGGGAGAGAGAGAATGCAAGGGGGAGAGAGAGAATGTAAGCAAAGTGCATCTAATAAATTTCCAGCTGAGTATATTTTCACCTTTAACAGTAAATTAGTTAGTAAATTGTTTGTTTTGCTTCCAGTAGCCAAAAAATAAAATAAATTGACAAATTGAGATGTGAGCCACAACATAAGTTAATGAACCTTCTCCACCGCGAATGTCTCGTTGTTCTCGGTATCATTGGCAGGTCAGGCAGCTCAACACGTGGTCTACACTGTGGTTGCTCAGACACTGCTCTCACTTCTTCCATGTCCTCATCCACCTCCTCCTTCACCAACATCTCCTCCACACAAGCCATTTTGTGTTTTAAGTATTGAGACTTCCTCTTGCAGAGCTGCCATATCTACCTGGTTCCTGCCAAGTGATTTGTGCACCTGTGGCAGTGTCAAATTCAGGTTGTCGATGGTTTGGAGGAACAAGGTCTTCTCTTGTTCCCAGGTTTTCATTTTGTCCTCATGCTCCTGGCTCTTCTGACTTTTTGTTGTCTGGCCGGCATTTTCCACCCATCTCTCTTGTGTTTCTTTAAGGTGTTGTATTTCCTAGCAAAGGATATCATTTGTCTGACTCTCAGACTCTAGGGTGTTCCTCATATCCTCGCAGTGTTGTTGAAGTTTTATCATGTCATCTTGTAAATCCAGCAATGTCGTCTTTGTCTCGGATAACTCAAGCTGAAGCTGAGCAGAGAAAATGTTCTCCTCGTTCAGCAACAACACGGTGAGCTCCAGATTTTCTTTTTCCAGAGCATCTTTCTCCTTTGCAGTTCTCGCTAATAACTCCAACGTTTGGCTTCCCACTGTGAGCAGGAGGCACGTTCACTCTGCAGAACATTTCTCAGTCGTTTGTTTTCCTTCAGCAGTTCTTTTTCTCGTACTTTGTCCTTAGTTTGGCAATCACACTTGTTGTCCATCTTGTGTGCCGTTATGTTTTCCTTTCTCAGCGTGCTTTAATTTAGCGACAGAGTGATTCCACTGTGTGATGCACTGTTGTGTTGTGATGTTCAGTTTGTAAAAGTTTGTAAACTAAATGTATTTTAGCTGAAAGAATCAACAGTCCTGTGATCTTGAATTAATAACTCGGGAACTTTTAGGGAACAATATAGGGCATGAATTCTGCATGAAGAATTTGGAAACTCAAATAAAAAGAGGTAAATAAACTGCACTACATAGTGAACTGAGTGATTTTCGATACAGCCCAAGGGCCTCATTAATAAAACAGTGCATAGGATCCATAATAAAATGTTATGCATGTTATATATTATGTAATATGATCTATAGGCTATAGACATATACATAGCTGATTAAATCACACGATAAATATCTAAAAAAACAAACACTGTATTTAACTCCAGCATATGGGTGTTTCTCTCATTGTCACAGTTGATTATGGATACATGTGGTGTCAGGAGATTGGAGAAGACAGCGTGTGACAATAACTGTATTGTCTCAGTGTTCGTTGCAATAACTTTATACATGAATACTATATTAAAACTTAATTTTGTGATATATGGTCTGTATTATAAGATATTACTAAAAAGTATTGACACACTGTTCTGCAGTTCCTCAGTGCTATCTGATGTTATATTGGACTTCTACCACCAACAATAATAATTTAGTTAGTTTGCCTAGCTAATGTGGTTGAGCTGAAAAAGGACTCAGTATATTCTAGCATTTCAACAGCTGCAGTGTGCTCCACAACTGACCACTAGTGTCAATAGCTTACAGTTTGGCCCTCTCCTCTACACTCCAGAGGTGGGGCATGTGATGGTGAGACATCGCTGATGAAATATTGAGTGAATTTGATTTGAGATTGAGTTGGCTTATATCTTTTACAATCTGGAATAGTTGTATGGAATAGTTATGCCTTACGGGCACATGCACAAATAAAACTGCTGGATATAGACGATGTAACCTTGCATACAATTAAGGACACGATGAAAAGCCTCATAAGATGGCACCTCTGTCACAAAAATGACACAGAAGCAATAATATAGAATTTTGTAGTCATAACACATAACAAAAACTCCTTAATAATTATTGAGTACAGATGTCTATGTAGCAAATTGGGTGAGCTATCCATGGAGTGTGTTTATCACGGGTAAGCAGACATGCTTTGTCCCGATTCTCAATCCATCCAGTCAGCCTGTCACTATCACTGCCATACAGAAATGTACTAATTTATTTGGGCACCTACCCATTGTATCCCTTCACAATCTTCAGAATTCTCTCCTTCATATCTTCAAATGGAATCGACTCCACGTTGGGATTTGCAGGACCTCTTTGCTCAGGTGCCGAGGCTCTGAAGTCATCCATCACCTTCTCCAATTTAAACAGGAAGTAGCTCTTAAACTGAGACCACTGAACCCTAGGGGAAAGTAGTAAGCACGCAAGGTTCAACATGAAATAAGACAGAACATTAGAATACAGGAAAAACAGAGACATTAAACTATACACAGGTATATATGCTTAAATGCAACATAACCTACTTTAACATTATTAAAAAAGAGACATGAAAATACTGTTACACTGGCATCATAATTACACACCAAATTAAGATAAAAAATAACTTCAGTTAATGCTATATATAGTCAATTTAAACATTTCTACCGGAGGAAATAAAATATGTGTGTTTATTTATTTGTGAGTGTGTGTGCACTGTAGTAGTAGGAAGAACAGTAATAGTAGTAGTAGTAGTAGTAGTAGTAGTAGTAGTAAGGAGGGGGAAATTTATCAGGCCTGCAATTTTCACTTACATGGTCTCTCCTGTCTTGGCAATATGACATAGAAACTGTTCCAGAAGAGGAGATGCCTCCTTCTTTGCTTTCTTATCAAAATCTGAGAAGAGAAAATAAACCACGAAGTGAATTAACACATTTACATTATGTTACAGACAGATCAGAGATCAACAGGCTTTGATTTGATCTAGGTTAACCAACAGTTTACCTGCTTTAGCCAAGTAAGAAAGGCTTGTTAGCAGGTCTCTGACGAGACTTGAACTGAAGAAAACCACATTGTGTCATTAACGTTAGCTATTTACATAACATAGCGGGCTAATGTTGCTAAAAATCTAGCTAGGTCGCTTGCTAGCCAACTGCAACTAGCTCTGGTTTAGCACACTGTCTAGCATGTTAAGTTAGCCATAACAGCATAACCGGCGAACAGTCTACCAATAGCCGGTGACAGTAACCAGTTACTTAATCCCAGCCAAAGATATCAGTCAGAAAACAGTCAAATACCAAGCAAATACATACATGTTTGGAAGAAAGAATGGAGAAAAGCATGATATATTAGTTAGCTTTCTTTTCTGGCTAACGTATTGAACAGACAGCGAACCATTTCCGTGAAACCGCTTGTAATGTTAGCTTTAGCTAACGCTAGCTAGCTAACTAGCAAGCGACATTAGCCTGTGAGCTACAATCCGTTTATTTTTTATTATATAACAATTACGGAAGCACACGTATAACACGTGGTCTCAATGAACACAAAAACTATCGAAATAAACTGAAGTAACCTCTGAGCGCCTCTTGAAGCGAGTCAATTTCCATCACGTCGTTGCCCTCTGTCAGTCCTGTGGATGTAAAAAGTAGACTGGCGGCTAGCTGCTGCTGCTAAGCTACGATCTCACAGGCAAAGAGGAGGGAGTATTTTAATATGGCGCCGTGAGGTCACTGCCTGTTCAGCAACAGACAAGGCACTGCACTGGGAAGAGCAACAGAAGTAATCTAATGAATGGAGTCATTTCCTCTAAAATAAATAAAAATCAAACAAAAATTAAAATAATAGCAACCAAATAAGACAAAATAAATGAAATGATACAGCTATAAATATATAAGAATAATAATGGAATACAAATAGATTAAATATAAAATATATACTTTATAAATATAGTATGGAAAGATGAATGTGTAAGTATTTTTTATATATAAACACATGCATACACTACTGTGCTACATCCTATCTGCTAACCTGATATTATATTAATCCTGGAAAGACCACACACACACACATACACACACACACACACACACACACAAGTATAAGTAAGTAAGTATACATGTTCAAATTTATGGGCTTTGTGTTTTTGTAGTACAAGTTATTATAATTTATCCACTGCAGTTTACGCTAATTCCTTTCCTCTTTACTATCTGTATACAGCCATTTTTGCCAATAGGTTTGGGAAATCCTCAATGATTTACCATATTACTGTATATTTTTAAAGGTATTTTATGGATTCAGGAACTGAAACTAGTTTTAACAGACTACATTTGTTTGAAAACCTAAAGGAACAGAAAAGGGGGACTTTGTACCAACCTGTCAGCCACTGTTGGACCACATACCGTGGTAAATTCAGTTAATAACCAATTTCTATATTAATGTCAAAGAAAACGTCTGCATTGTGATGCAGTAGTTACCTTTGTTTACAGTATGAACCTACATCTGTCCTCTCTCTGCAGTTGATATACACAAGAATGCATTTCATCCATTCGCATTATTTAATAAGTTACCATTCCTATAAATTGCCTATAAATTGCATATAAAGAGGGGTCCAATTGGATCCAGTGTGTGTATGAATGAAGCTTAAGCAGGTTCAGTACATTGCATTGTTTTATTTAGAAACACATGATGACTTGACAGCCATTTTCAGTTTCCAGTTTGAATGATTTGATACGTTTAGACAATCAAACCACATTTAAAGTAATGTTGCAACATATGACCCATGTGCTCACAACATAACATACATCTTATTACAAACTAAGATACCCTCTCAGACACACACGCCTATACCACTCAATAGTAAACATTGGCAGACATGAATATTTATATGGCACATTATCAGATGTAGTATGTAGTATGTCACTTTTTTTTTCTTTTTTTTTAAACTGCTAGCACTTTTGGTATTGATTCACTCGGACAGTGTAGCATCTAATGTCGACATGTGTACAAACAACCATCCAGTCCTAATATCATTCTGAAAGTGCATTTTAACATTTGGTGTGTAACATATAAGTCCGTATTTCCTCCGTTGTACTGTATTTAATACTGTCAGTGGCATTTGGCAGCTGCAGAACAGACCAATAACTCACAACTCTTCTCATTCACACAGGCTCACATTTCAGGTTATTTGCTGGTAAAACATTCACATGATTATAAAGGAGTGGTTTGTGAAGTTTTTCAAAAGTCCAAAGTCGACTTTGTTTAATGGACACCACATTCATGAGGAAAAATAGATACTTTTTTAAAATGCTTGGTTGGCAAAAATACGGCTTCAATTTTATTTTTACACTTGAGATGAAGAGCTGATACTTTAATTATTCTTGACAAAAAAGGGTCCATGCAATCTCTTTTCCCCACTGTAGTTTTCCAGCATTCTCATACATTTCATCACCACCTACATAACTGGGATGTGAAAATTTTGAGACGGCAATAAGGCAAACCTATTCTACGGCACCACTGACCAGCACTGTATGCTTCTCTGTATACATAGGCTTATTACACATGCCATCACTTGAGGCTCATAATGTTCTTAAGACCATTTTTTTTTCCCAGGTAGTGTCTTGTGTTGAATACACTGCAAATGCTGAGCCACCAGTCCTATCTGGAAGATGCTGGTTTGACAAATAGTTCACAGCAAGACGGTCCTTGGTGTTGTCAGATAAAACAGATTTCTCTTCCTCCATCAGTTATTTGTGTGGTCTGACGTGTCGCACCACTTTCTCCTCAAACACCTTCTTCATGGTCTTTTCTATTTGCTTGAGGAAGACTTGAGGAATCCGACCACACAGGGTGTTGACTGTGTCAAGGAACTTGGTCTGGATGGGGTAGAAGAGCGACTGGAACATATTGTCCTCAAAGGGAAACTGCAGAGACAGAGACATTACCCTGCGTCAGTTCTGGTCCCAAAGCTATTTCAGTCTGATAGTTTTTTAATGGAACATATCACAGACTAAATGGTATTTACAAATTCCGTCAGCGGGGTTGGGGTTGGGGTAGGGTGGGTTCTCTATTAATCATAAATTACGACACAGCTCATCTTTAAGAGGCTTATCTCAACAGAGCAGGGGGAACCGACTCTGCTGCTGGAGAAAACAAATTCTAAATTTAAAAACTGACCCAGATTGTTTAATGCAAGCAAGAGAGAAAATGCTCAAAGCTGCTCTTTTTTGTGAGCTGGTGTCTTTAAAGGAACAGTTCAACATTTTGGGAATCGTGGTTCTTTGCAGTTTACATCCATGTCTGTCTGACTCATATAACGCATGGAGTGAAGACTTTGAAGGAGTTTAATGAAAAATGTATTAAGTGTATTTGCAGCAACATTATGATAGATAAACATTAAGTTGACCTTTGACCTTTTGGATGTATGTCATCACTTCATCATTTTATCCTATTAGACATTTGTGTGAAATTTTGTCATAATTAGCCAATGAATTCTTGGGTTATGGCCACAAACGTGGGGTCACAGTGACCTTGACCTTTGACCTTTTACCACCAAATTCTAATCATTTCATCCTCTGGTCCAAGTGAATATTTGTGCCAAATTTGAAGAAATTCCCATTGCTTCCACAAGAAAGGCAATGGGGGTTTGGGGTGTGTTAGAAAAGGAGATTATGCAGAGCAGTCATGTCAACATGGACTAGAATCACCAGACGGAACTTTTCCAACATTTTATGGAATCCATGTCATGAAGAGCAAAGGGAGGCCCTACCCAGTATTAGTATGGGGTTCCTAATAAATTGCTCACTGAGTGTACATTCTCACACACACACACACACACACACACACACACACACACACACACACACACACCAACATCCGCCTTGCACTGGATGTGGGATTTCAACAGAGGGCGCTATGCATCAGTACCACATTGTGTCTGTGAGAACTGAATTTCCCACTGACATACTCACGTCACGTATTGCATCATAGACTACTTTAAAGGCCGGCTGCTTGTCATCGTGATACACTCCACGGTTGCCATGGAGGATGGACACGCCTTCCTCTTCAGCCCCTTTACAGTTACTCCCGTACATACAATGATCAGGCCTGTAGTTCCACTGGCAGGGAAAGATGAAGAGACACTCTGAAAAAAGAAGAACACACATTGTGACTCATGCACTTCAGCTGCCATTGCCAGGAGGACAAAGTGAGGACAGTGGCTCACAATTCACCTAGAAGAATCTGGATAGAAAGACTGAACAGCAGTATAATACATACCTCTCTGTCCTCACAGTAAACAGGAGTTTGAGTCAAAAAAGTACCTGTATATACTGTGTGACTGGAGGATTCTTTATAGGATTTTTTAAAACAAATACAACTGTGAAGAAAATGAAATATGCAGCCTGAAATAGTAGAATATGTAAGAACTACACAGCCAGCAGTGGGAGGATATGCTGTCCCCCGATCGATGTATTAATATGCATGCACTGTTTTATCGTACCGCCCCATTCAGTCGAATTACAGTTCTTCACACAGTGTATATGCTGCAATAGGTTCAACGGTTGACGTGCTTCAGGGACTCTCTCTGGCTTCACCTGTCTGACTGTTCACACACAGGCATAACACAAAAATAATATGCTGATCAGACTGATGGGTTTTTGAATATATACTGCACCCAATGGTTCAGTGATAAATGAGTGTTCAATAAGTGTGACGCTCACTGTGATGGATGTGTATAGCAGAAGATCTTTCTGCAGTGCAGTTCCAGGAGTTTGTGTCCCACACATAAACAATGCAAACTATATGAAGAAGAAAGTATAGATGGTGGGAGATTTAGGAGTTAGGAAAGAGTTAGGAAAATCGTGTCATCCTCTTCTTTATAGTCTGCCAGTGTGAATGTTTCTTTCCTCCCATCTTTTTATGTATTTAGACTAAACAAAGATGGCAAGAAAGACCTCTGAAAACACACTAAACTGTTTATACTGCCCTTGAGCAAAGTAATCAACCTCCAACTGCTCCAGTGCAGCAGCTCAGTGGCTGGTGGTGATTGTACTGCAGCTGGAAGGTGGGAATGTGAACACACTGTATGTATGAACATAAAATTTAAACAATACCATGGATGCTCATATGTAGTTGCTAGTTTGAACCCATTATAAGAATATATTGTATAGTAAATTTGAATGAACCCATGATCTAGTGTGGTACAAAGTGCCAGGATAAATAAAAACAATATACAAATGTTTTTCTATTTATGCTTTAAAACAACATGAATTAAAAAGCCGACTCTATTTGTTTCCCTTTAAATGCCATTGAACTGTTTTCTGAAGAGATCTTTAAAGTCTTCAGACTATTTTCCCTTGATTGTAGAACAAAGCAAAAGCAGGTCAGAACAATGCTTATGGACTAATGTGACAATCCCTCTGGAGAAAGCCTCAACATGTAAAACAAACACTCCACTCTGCAGTGCTGTCAAACAAACACCAGCGATGCCAGCTCTGCCGATGGCTCTGAGCCCTTAATGCCCACATCTGGCCGCTGCAGCTGGAACCCAGTCTGCTGCTAGAGTCTGCCGTTCCCTATAGCCTCATCCTCATGTGCTCACTGATCAACATTCAGAATGAAGACTTTGTTTGTCTAGAGTGAAATAAGACAGTTTATGTTGGGAATGTGCAGTATGTGTAGTATTTTAAAATACATGTATACATACACAGTTTTATGTGTTAGTTTTGCCTTTCATTGACCTTCAATAGGCTTCAACATGCTAATGCATGATGTGTTTTCAGTTAGATAATAATACTAAGATGACTTGAATTCACTGCCATAAAGGGCTGTACCTGGGTTGTAGTGGAAGATAATGTTGAGGAGGTCCTGGTCTCCCCAGGTGATGTGGTTCTTGTATTTCTGATAAAGCGGATGGAGAAGATCCTCCCACGACAGGCCACTGGAGATCATACTGTTCTGAAATACCAACAACAACGTTCAACAACTCACCAACAGCTCAAGAGCAGCCATTTTTCTCCCCCCCCAAAACACATCATCAAAGGAGGAGCACATTTACATTCAAGCTTCCATTTGCAATCTGCTGGCAGCATTAAGAACTGGAGAGCTGCTAAATTGAGTTCTGAGGGCAGAACTGTGATGCTAGCGTGGTAATCGGAAAGCTTCAATCACAGCCCACTCAGAGTGCGCAGCCTGTGACTTCAGCTCAAAGAAACAACCCCTTCAGAATGCAAAAGAGACCCCACAGCTCACTTAAACTTTCAACTGATCAGAGTATGAAGAAATACGACCATCTTTTAACCTCACTTTGAACAGTTTGCTGCGGATCCTTGTGAGATTCATCAGCATGACACCAGAGTTGACCCCCGTGACCCCGTAGAAAGGGTGGCGTGCAAAGCGGCTGTACCAGCCAATCTTGGGGACCTCGTGCTCTGGAGCCATTGCTGCAAGCTGGGTGCTGTTGAAGGACTTCAGGAGACTCCAGATGTCATCCATGGGCCGCAGGAACAGGACGTCTGTGTCCACGTAGAGTAAGGAGTCCACATCCTTCAGGATCACCTGTAAGCACAATGACAGTCATCAGCAGAATATTCATGACCACAGTCGTCCATTTAAAGAACCTGAATGGGATTACATGATGTAATATCCAAAAAATTTAGTTAAATAGACAAAAGTGCTGTTGGTACATGTTCTGAAATACCTTGCCTTCTGCACAAACAGCTTGCTCTCCCAGACAACGACTTACATATTAATAAAACATAACTATAAAGTCTGTAGAAAGCATCAAGAGGTTCAGTTCAGATCAGAACAACTATGTGTCTGAGTGGAGAGAAAGAAAGATTCTTTACAGAATTAAGAGTCTTGAGCCAAGCTAGCAGCTCTGTGAGCTTGTAAACCCAAATAAAACCTGCAACAATTAGTCAATTAATCAATTAGTGGATGGACAGAAAATTAATAGCCAACCATTTTTATTACTGATTAATAATTTAAGTCTTTTTTTAAAAGAAAAAAATCCAAATGTTCTCTTGATTAAGGTTCTCAAATGTGAAAATTTGCTGTTTTTAAAATAGTAAATGAAACATTTTTCAGTTTTGATATGCTGGTTGAATTCATTTTGTGGTCTAGGAAACTGGTTTTAATAGACCAAACGTTCAGCTGGTTAATTAAATCGGCTGTAGGTAGACGGTCTTCAGTGCTTTATACAAGGAAAAAATAAAGATATTCTCTCACAGTGTCATGCCTTGCCTCCCTGTTTGCACAAAGATGTTGTTCTCCCAGACATCGACTCACCCAGATATTAAGACAACTAAATTATCATGTGAAAAAGTGCCATTTGTCAATTGCCCCAGACCCAGCATTTCAGAGAGAGTCGCCGACCTGGGATTTTTTCATTGCTGTTTCTAGTTCTGTAATACACTTTTCCGGTGCTACTTGGACACGTCCTCAGTGATCAGAGGACGTGTCCACAGTCTATGATAAAAAGTTGGTATCAAGACAGATGTGTTCTACAGAAAAGCATCTAAGAACTCGTACATCGTCAAATGCTGACGTTGATAATTACTTCCAGTATCCATTGATGAATTCTGCTGTCAGCCCATGGCAGAAAAATTATACTGAGAATTTTGCTGAGACAAAATTAGTTTTTTACTCACTGCCATGGAGCAAGTTTTCAGAGTTGAGAAATTTTGAGAGTGTAAACTATATTTCAGACAACCAAAGTATCTTCAACATATATAGCACAGGGACAAGGAGTATAGCACAGTTTAGTCACAAAGTGCACCTCTCACACTATACCATTTAGAATATGCAGAATAGAAAAAAGGAGCTTCAGGTTGCCTCTATAGCAGAGGTGTAACACTGCTGGGAGGATAAAGTATGAGGAGCAGGGTCCATGACAACAGAATCACTCGGCGCATAGGGTAGAGCTCAGTGTTAGTATTTGTGCTCTAGCTGCTCACTAATCCCAAAAGAAACCACGTCACTATGCTGCATTGTGCTCACCTATGGACTGTTGGTTATTGTTGCATTATGTTGCTGACAGCAGCGAGGAGTGGGTGATGGTGTGTGTAACAAATCTATAACGAATCCCAACAAGCCCAAACAGAGCAGCAGACCCCTGTTTCAACAACCAAACTGTATACGTGCACTTCCACAGTAATGCAATAAACTACACTGAGGACTGACTCCTCTGTGAAACAGATTTCGCTGTCAGTATAAATGGTGCTTTGCAAACAGTGTGGTTACACTAATGGATCATAAACCACAACAACAAACCGGATCAAACTTGCCTCTTAAAGCTGGTTTCCATAACAACCTCAAACATATATGTATATATATACAGTATATATATATATATATATATATATATATCGTGTGGTGAAAATATGTGTAAAACCCACAAAAACAGATTAAGACACAACACTATAGCTTAGTGTTGTTGTTCAAATGATTCGGAAAACTGTAAAACAAAATGAAGTCAGATCCAAAGAGGGTCGCCTTACTGTGTGGTAGGTTGATGACATGACTATTTATACATTTTAGATTTCTATTTATATCATCCTGAAAAGACCTATTTAACACTAATCTGTGGGCATTTTTCCTCTCCAACTTTAAAGGGGCTATTTGTAAGTTTTCTCTGCAGCTGAACATGGTTACTTGCCAGGAGCGGGTCGCGGTGATTATTGCTTGACAAGAGCTTCAGCCATTTTAGTCTTTATTATTACGTCTGGACGCTACAGGGAGAAGGTGACGAAGTGTGCCGGGGCTAGCTGGTTAGCATGCTAACTTCAGTAGAAGAAAAGATGTTATAGAGACAAGTGTTAACATTGGCGTAGCTTCCACCTCTGGGCACAGCTCTTGGTGAGTAAAGGAATGAAGTTTGATGCTGAACTCACAACATCTAGACTGGTATGTAAACAGATATTAATGCTAACGCTAGCTATGTAGCAATAGCAAAACTTATAAATAGCTCCTTTAACCTGGAGCCTCCTTTGAACTTTTAATAACTTGTAACCTGGTTGTACTGTGTTTAATAAACAGAACATTTTGGTCATATTCCATTAGACAGTCAGCATCATTTTCATGCCCTGTTCAGCAGGCAAGTGCAGTGATGAGAATAATAATAACAGCGGGGGAATAAGTGGTGCTAAATATGTATTAGGTTTACATGTAATGACATTAGTATTTTAGTAAGAGGGTGACAGAATGGAGCAAAGAGAGTGAATGAAACTGGCTAAAGACCAGTTTCCACCTCACTGAACAGCTCTCCAGTGCCAGCTGTGTCCTTCAGGAGAGGCTCTGCTCTCTCTCTCTGCTCCAGCCCACTGCTTGATTCTCCCCCCTGACTCAGAACATGAGGAGGTAATAAACTGCAGGATGCAGTGCAATTATTTCTGAGTGTTTTTTGTTGTTGTTGTTTTATTTCAAGAGAAAATAAAATACAGTGATGTAGCAGCTGGTCGAACTTTTCCACAACTTAGAAAAAATAATGCAGTAATTTAGTTGCAGGAAAGCATTCCCATAGTGACAAAACGACAGTGGGAACAAAAGCAGAGCCTGTTAGACTGGCTACACATTATGTTATGAAAGGATGGACCAGTCCACCCATTAAATAATTCAGATTATTGTGGTGATGCTCAGTAGGTGTTCCTAATAAAGTGAATAGTGGATGTTCATTGATTGCCTTGCCGCAAGAAAAAAAAAAACTATGGATCTGTCGACCTGCAATATGTTCATTACATGGCAAGTAAGCTGGCTGCTATTTCAACAAACGCTAGCAGAAAAGGAGAATCAATAGCCAGGCGCAACCTTCACTTGATGCAATTACTGGGTTAAGTCTCTGGAGACTGCTTATTTGTTAAGTAAGTGCTGCAGAAAAGGTGTGAAATCATCAATCACCACGCCAGTAATTAATTATAAGCATACACTGGGATAAAATAAAGGGCAGGGAAATGCTGTTTGAGTAGAAATGAAATGGATTAATGACTTTTTTTTCTCAAGGCTGGTTAATCACATTATGCATGGTGACTGAGGATATGAGGGGAGATAAGCGCTGCAGGCCTTACAGGGAGGAAGAGTCTCTGAGCAGCACAGGGCTTGAAGAGCTTCTTCCACTCGTCAGCGTTCCCCACGGAGAAGGTGATGGGGTAGATGCTGTACTGGAACTTGGCTGAGACGGGGCGAGGCCAGTGGTTCAGCTGGAAGTAAAGCAACAAATCACACTTTATAAAGAGGAAGCGTCTAATGGACCTCTTAAAAGGCTGGGTACGAAAAAGAGCCATTATAAACAATCATTATTCTGAAAGCTAACCTCTCTCTCTCTCTCTTTTCACAGACTTATCAACATAAAAAAGAATGTAAAGCCAGCCATTTAAAACAATGAAGTCATGTCTCGTGGTGCTGTGCTGTGCTGTTCTGCGTTGAACCCATGCAGCTGCCAGCTGTTGTTTTATCAAGAAACCAATAGTCTAAACAAGGCAAGGCACCCTCTTAAAGTCCGCAGTGTATGTCTAGAGCCCGTGTTATCTGACCTGTTAAGACTCTGAGTCCCTCCGTAATCATCAGTTTAACAGTTTGGCCCTGAAAAGAGTGAGAGCGCTGCGAGCAGTTGGCAGGGTTTGTGCTGACGAAGACGAGAGATCAGAAGAGATTGTGAGCAACCTCTCTAAAAACACACACCATGTCTCTTAACACCGTGTCTCTACATAAGCTCCATGCTGCACAAACCCAGCATATGTGTTACATTATCTAGGCCTTGACTACCACGACTCCCTGTCCTCCACGAGGGGATTTTCTACACATGGCAATGATTCACACACACATGACGGCAAGCTCATAAGTTTAGGAGTTGGATTTAAAGCTGTTTAAGGCGCTTTTAGGTGCTGTTTGAGGTCTGTTAATTGGAGTAATTTTAATAGACTGTTAGTTACAGTATCAGTGGAACTAATCAAAAACATGCCAGACACCTTTGTAAAGGTGACTTTGAAGTGATACACGCTACTGGAGAAAAAGCAGGATGTCTTGGTGATATATTACACCGCAGCCCTGAGATAAAAGGGTTATATGTCTGTACTAGAGGGAGTCAGAGAGGCAGAGTTGAAAGTGCTCTGATCTTGATGTCATCTATTACAAAAGAGAGAGGGGGAATGTTTAACATGTTCTGCATTAAATCAGAAATCACAGCATGCTCTAAAAGAAGTGTACACAGAAAATAAATTGTGTGTTTAGCCCAGGAGTCTCTGGTGCCACATCTGATTTTGTGCTGTTTTGTAAAAATTTGCACTACATACATTCAGGCGTCAGGGCACTGAAGGCTTCTTACCCTTTCTTCAAACTGTGGGGCCAGGGGGTCTTCAGCAAAAATGTGAAACTTGATCTTCTTGAGGCTGAAGAGGAGGGCTGATTTGACCATGGTGAGGGTCTCATCCAGACGATTCCCACAAGCCACCACAGCCAAGTGCATGAACTCCTCAGCCCGGGTGCGCTTGATCACAGGTCGGGCCACATTACTCCGCAGTTTACTAGAAAAGATATAAAAAGAAAAGGATGAAACGTGCACTGACAGTTTGAGTCAGAAGAAAACAGAAAACATACAGTAAAGTGGGAAAAGTGAAAGAGCAGCACTTATCCAACTCTCATCAACAGCACTGTGGTGCCCTTGAGCAAGGCCTTACCCCAACTGCCCCATAGGAGCTGCTCAACTACCCTGATTAAATACAGGTTAAAAAAAAAAGTAATTAACCTGAGCATTTTTACACTGGTATGTCATCTTTTCAATGCAATGTAACAATAAGGGCAAAATGAGCTCCATTAATCAAACAAATGATGTGCAGGATGTGCAGTTCTCTCCACCCCCCCGTGCTGTCAGATCTAAATGGGCCAAGGCCACGTGCGGGGGATGTGGAGGGGGTTTGGATCTGCTGACAGTCACTTATTTCATAAACCTTGTTTCCCTCACTCATCGCTTATAATTTGGCCTGAGTGCTGCAGAGCTGGTGAAGAGCAACTTGTACCCTACAACAGATGTACTGGTCTATACACAAGTCAAAACATACATGCAAAATGAATGTACTGAAAGAATTGGTGAAATTGAAACCTCCATGGTAAATTTGACCAATATAGAATTGTGAATGTCAACGTCTTTACACATTGTACATTTCTATGCAAGCAATTAGAGGTTACTAAGTCGTACTGACATGATGGAAAAGCCTATAAAACAGCATTTGAACAACATGCGATACTAAAACCATCCATTGAATCTACAGATAGTTATTAACCACAGTCTCACTTTAATAACTGAGCTTTGTTGTTCAGAATCTGACCAGAATTTAGCAGTATAATGAATTCAGGTCAGCCTCCTGAATGCTGATTAATTGTACAATAAATATTAACAGTGGAGCCATCCTATCAGAACAGACTGGGTGATATCATGCCCACATATTGAGCAAATTTATCCATAAGCTACACTTCCATCCGCAGCCAAATGCATCGAGATCTCAGAACCTGGCCTCCTCCTCACATGCCAACATGTCACTGTTGAACAGTAAGGGGCCTGTCACTTCATGAACATGTCGGCGGCACAGACATTCATTTTGGACTCTATGAGAATCTAGACAGAGGAAACAAGTGTGCAGCATTCAAGAAAATAGCAGATCACCGCATTCACCCTGCTGTCAGACAGAAAGGGTGCAAAGTCAAGGATTTCTCTGAATGGCATGACATCTGTGCCATCGCATACTCTTCAACACTACGTCCACACTATAACACACTACAACACACACACACACACACACACACACTTCTTTTCTGTAGCACTGCAAGTTCCCACAGGACTTTGTTCTACCATGCTCAAAGGCAAGTAGGTCCTTTATGTGATGTTAAAAACTTGCTCTCTGCAGAGATCGTGCTGCTGTGTAGAGTTAAAATACACTCAGCAGCGCAGAGCATCTCCCACTACGATGAAGAAACATTTGTACAATAGAAGAGCCTCAAGCTATGGCCAATATCATCTACTTGCCCCCCCCCCTCCCCACACGCACACAGACACTACATGGAGCTGCTTATAACAAAAAACATGTTCAAGATAAATATTTTTACAGCCCATAGGGAAAGAAGAATGACACACAAAAAAGAACAGAGACGCTTTTGTTAAACGTTTTCTGGGAGAACAGTGGAAGGCAAATGGTTTTACGACTAAAGACTGCGCCATTCCAAAAAAGGCATGGATTTCCTCTGAGCCCGGAGGAAGCAAAGAGTCTACCATAAAACGGATGGGAAGAGAGAGGAGTGAAATTTGACAGGTGGGTTACAGGGCTGTCTCCAAGCGTGACACTTCGTTTTCTGCATGGCTACGGGACAATGATGAACCGCAGATTAGGATGAATGAGAAGGTGCTGAGAAATCTGTCTGCCACGCTTCAAAGGCTGATGCGCTGTCAAGGTTGTTGAACACACGTTTTTATTTTCCAGCAGAAAATGCAATCCATATCTCCTACACAAGTGTAATTATGTCGCACTTAGTCATGCAAAATAAATGCCCTTGAAATGATTTCTGCATGAAATTGGATGACAAAACAAACAAAAAAAAAAAAAAATTTTCTTTGTTGCACAAAGCATGCGCTGCACACATGATGTTTAGTGTGATGGCAGCGTTCCCCACATCTGGAAGCAGTCGAAAAGCACAGAAGAGGTACAAAAGGATTGAATTCATTACTGGCTGCAGAGTGAGCATAAGAGGAGCCCTCTGCCTACAAAGCACCACAGCTAATGCTTTCAAATCACGGAAGGAGAGAAAAAAAGATAATGTCAGAGAAAAAAAGTACATGTACAGGAGAAAAGAGGCAGAGTTAAAACGACACCAAAGAGCACCTTGAAGGCATTTAATTAATCCGCATATGACTGTGTCTAACATGTTCACTTTGGTTTCAACCAGTGGAAAGCAGAGCCGTTAAATTGAATACGGTGCCCTTCGTCTTTAGGTGGGTGTAAACAAAAGTCACCTCTTCAAATCAACTTTAAAATGTCAGACTATATGATGATGAAACCTACAGGTCTTTCTGCAGATCACACGCGAGTGAACAGTTGTTGGTGTAGCCACAGCCAGATGACTCAAACTGCAGACAGACAATCTGTTTTCCTTTCAGTCACCCTATTTACAGGATTTGCAATCATCAGGATGTCTAGCTGAATCACCTAAAACCAAATATGCAATATCATTCCAATTCGTTATTCACCCAAGATGTGCTGACTAAACCTGATGATGATGAGTTACTTTCACATGGCTGAAATATGCACCAAAAAAAATTAGAACTAAGAAAGTCATTGTCTTGGATGTCAGGCGTGTACTCAATTATAGAGATGTGACGGTACATGTATTCTGCCCAACGTTTTTCAGTTGATTACTCCCTGTGAAACAAATAATTACTATTGCATCAGTACAATAAATTCTAAGAGCAGAGGCCAGGTTCTTGCACTTGCCCTTTGCAAACGTGCACAAACCTCTGTAACTGTGTAATAGCAGCCAGCATGTGGACTCGTGCACATAACCTTCCAAAATGTGAAATATCGCAATCTGCTGACTGCACACTGATCATTGTTGGGGTTTGAATCATTGGTACATGCAACCCCCCCCCCCCAAAAAAAACCTCCTCTTCTTTGTCCTTCAATAAATAATACACATAATTGGATAATTAGATAACTTACGTACTCATGAAGACGAGAAGAACAAGGACACAAGTAAAAAAACGACACATGCTGTGCAATGGCGGCATAAAGTCACTTTATGCCTTAACAAACATTGTCATGTTCTGCTTTTCCTGCTTTCTCCTTCTACAGCTGCCTTCCCATGTTCTTGCTGTAAATCCATAAGTGAGGCCTTTTTACGATGCTTGAGCCTCACCTCAGTGTTCCTTCACATTTGCATCAGTCCGCTGCGCCACTCCAGTATAAACAAGCACAAGCTCCAAATGTCCGAAAACTCGCATCAAACTAAACTGCGAACCTCACAGCACCAGCACCACGAGATCTATGGTCCAGATTTTAAACTACTAACGACTAATAACGTTTTTAATTAATCTCTTACCTATGCTTTCAATTCATTGATTATTGATTCAATAACATTATTAATGATAATGTGTGATTATTAATATGATATATGATATTAATGATGATCAATGATATAATTAATCAATATCATTGATTTATTGTATAATCTATAAATGTCAAGAATCAGTTAAAAATCCTCATCACAGCTTATCATGGTCCAAGTTGAAGTCTTTTACTTGCTTTGTTTGTTCAAACAATTCCCAAACCCAAAAATCTGTCGTTTCCAGTAGTAACCAAATATAGAAAACCAAATACAATGACATGATGAATGACCTAAACATCCACTGGCCATGAAAAGTCCTAGTCGATAGTTTCTGTTGATCGGCTTATCTATTGATCAACAAATTCTTTCAGCATATGCTGGATCCCTCACAGTTATCTTTGTCCTTCCAGGAAAACATTTTTTAGGCATGATCTGACACTTTCTAATCTTTGCCTTTCAAATCTTGCACTTCAGCAATATTGGATTTTACCCAGTGGAGGTCTTTCTAGCTTCTCCTTCCACGCCCCTCCATGACTCATTCACCAGTAATTTAAAAAGCGAGTTAGCCAATGTAACAGACGGATATAACTGCTCCTGATAGGGGCTCACACAAGCACCCTCCTCTCCAGCCAGGTCGGGCTACACAGGCAAGCAGGGAGATTTCAAACTGCAGGCAGAGAGAGAGTGTTCAGTCATGCAAAGTGACATTTTTATAGCTATGCATAATGCCACTGTGAGAGAGTGACTTCTTTACTGCAAGGAATGCTGCTTAGCTACATCTGAAGTGACAGGGCAAGGGATTTGTTTCAACACAGAGCATCAACACCCATCTAATCCTGTAGATACAGACCTTAATTCAATGTAACAAAGCAGATAGAGGGGTTATGGCTGCATTATACTGCATTTGATACAAATGCTGAAGGCATAAAGAGATCAGAGTGAAAGAGTATGTATCTTACAGATAAAAGACTGTTCTAAGGATTTTAAATCGCAGCTTTATGATATTCATCAACAATCAATATTACCAAGAATTAACCAACATTGCCAATTCATATGTTGATATTTTTTATATTAATGTTTGAAAGTAGTTGTTTTGTCCAACCAATTGTCTAAAATCCAAGCTCATCAATTCAATTTTAAATGATTTAAAAGAGAGAAAATCAGCAAAATCTCAGGTATGAGAATCTGGAACCAGACAATGTTTAACGTTTCTAGATAAATGATGTTTAATTAATTGTAATTATGTATATAATATAATATAATCACTAAAGGACCAATCATTTGTCTCGGACTGGTTGCTGGAGCTCTTCTTTCTATTTTTGCCCACAGGAAGTAGTGTGATGTGTCAAGAGGAAATGATATGATTAGGAAAAACAGGGATGTTTGTCTATTAGCATGCTGCACAGGAAATCTGTCCAGCGCTCAGATTCACAGATGACCAGAGTGTCGACACCGGATATGAGAAACAATTCTGAAATTTCTGCCCTAAAAAAAAAAAAAATCACAATTTAGTTCTCTATTTACATGTATATCCTCGTCATCCCTGTGATTCATTCTCAGAGTAAATTTGCCAACGTTTGTGTGTTTAGCACCTGAAAACTACACTCTATTGTTCAGATTCCTCTGGCTTTTATCCACCCAACTTAAAAAAAAAACATCAGAGAGGCGCATGCTTTAAATAGGAGAAAGTTTATGAAGGCAAAAGCTGCTACAGTCAGTCTAAAGCGTCTTCCAAACCTGTTGGTGTGTTGTTGTTAGTTTTTTTTTTTTTTTAAACACCCACCGGTGACCCCTTCCACCCCATCTCCCTTATCAGCGCTGAGCACACATGGAGGAGTGTGGTTTATGGGAGGATGTAAAGGTCCTTTCTCAATGGAACGCCTTGACGGCTTTTATCTACCCAACAGTGTCCCCAACCTGCAGTCTGGCTTTGGAGTAGAATACATATTATTGCCTGCTTGTGGAGTGGGTATCTCTCCACCACCGCATCGTGGCTGGTATGGCATCGCTGGCATTCAACCCAGGAGGAAAACACAAGGGATGTGTGAGGCTGAAATTAGAAAGCTGGAAGACATAATAAAAAGCTCCCATCCTTGGACAGAAATAGCACCTGACAAACTCAGCCTTTTGTCTAAATCCGAGAGGCTCGTGGGGAGATGGTGGCTTAATCAGTTCATCTGTCAGGGTGCAGCTTCTCTTTAATAGCAGAAAAAGGGAAAATCACACCCGACAAGCTTATCACCCCAACATAAGAATGACTGTCTTGGCAGACTTTGACAGGAGAGTAGTCAACAGGATGGGTTTCCGTTTTGTGTCATTTCCAGTGAAACTGTTTAAGAGGCAGCCATGACCATTCTGTGCACACTTAATTAACTGCCATTTATGTCTTTCAAGGTGACCTTTACCCCTTTTTTAAAAACATCACAGGATTAGAAGAAAAGGGCCTAAAGCACCATGGGTCAAATGATCAAGATTTAGAGGTCAGGTAATGATTTGTCATTCTGTTGTGCTGTTGTCTGATGTCCTCTCTGCAAACACTGCCAACATTTCCTCCTAATCATATTAGTCATGCTCTCTACTCACATTTCAGCAGCCCCCCCCCCCCGATTGCAACAGCGTGATTCACAGTTCAATATAAATGATGAGAAAATAATGGTTATAAAATGCAGCCAAGCAGATGCCCATATGCATGTTTAAGTGTCCCTTGACAGATTAGGCTATTGTGAAGCCAGCGTCCTTGAGCACAATGTAGGCAGTTTGATGAAGGGAGCACGTCTGCTTCAAAGCGCGATTAAACGCTGACACACTCACTCTTTTAACTTCCCAGCGACGGGAAAGATGAGAATCAGCAACGCCAAGTAGTTAACGATGCTTTTGTGCGAGCGCAAACGGGGAAAAGGCGTGGAGGAAAAGCGCTCATGACCGACAGAGCAGAAAGAAACAAACTCGCCTCACCTCTTTGCATTCACGCTGGCACCTCTATTGATCGTTTTCCCCTCTTTTCGTCCCTTGAGAGGCTCCACCGCACGCACACCGACTCCGGCGGATGATTTCCTGACAAACTTTGCCGCAACATCGCGTCTGAGCTCAGGAGACGACGGGGAAGACTTGCTGCCCTCCTCCTCCTCCTGCTCTACAACTTCTTTCAACAGCGGATCGTCCGCGGCATTGCCCCCCAAAAAGTACAAAAGTAGGAAAACTCCGAAACACACGGCGATCACAACTACTTTGCAGTGGATCCGCATGGTGAGAGCGACTTGTTGCGGGTGGAGGAGGCAGAGGGAGCTCCGCTCATGTCTGCGAGTGAGGGAGAGCAGCCCGAGTTGACATTTTGTTACCGTTCCCCGCTCGCATTTTTCTGCAGATGATGATGGAGAGCGGAGAGGAGCTTCTCAGCGTCCATGGAGGATTACACAGGGGAGGCGTGGCTTCTACAGCTTTACCGTAATGACGGTACTATTAACGCGCGGTTATATTGTAATAACACTGTAAGGGTTATAATGTGTCTGGTTTATTTAATTTTTTTAACCTACTTTATTTTTATCTGTAGTACAGCTAAAACAATTTTATGTCACGGTTATGTTAATATCTTCTTAAAAATCATTCAAAGTTTATTACAGTATTTGTCAAGAAACGTATTAGAAATACAATAAAATCTCTATTTAAAAAAAGCAGCATTAATTATTGAAATCGATTGTTATCATACTACTGCTTATTAAAACATCTATCATTTTGCTAGTAAAGTGACCACAAAGAGTTGCAGCGTTCTATGATTTCTTTCATCAATCCATTATAAAACTTTAGAGGATTAACTTTGAAGGCATCATGATTCAAAGAAACTTTATTTGTCTCTAGGGGGCAATTTAAAAGGGACATAGAGTAGTCACACACACACACACACACACACACACACACACACACACACACACACACACACACACACACACACACACACACACACAAAAAACACACAAAGTATAAAAACACAACCAGTACAAGACAACAATGGTAATGAAAGGAAAAACAACATCAGTGTGAAAGCAATAAACAATGGTGCAAAAACAATAACATGTAATATTATGATAATGAGAATGACATTATTAGTGGAAATAAATAACTGTACACATTTGATAAAAAATTATTTGTATAAGAGGATACTCTAAGTGCAATAATAAACTATGTTACATAAATATAGGTGCATATTTGAGATATGAGGTATATTAATAGCAAAGTCCAAATAGCAGCAAAGTCAATGTGAAAGTCATTGTATCAATGTGTGGCACAGAGGTGTTCAGTGCAAGGCCTCTTTATTGACTTTCCAAACTGAATTTTAGGTTCATCTTTTCAGTTTTAAAAAAAATAGTTTTTTAGCCTTTCCCATTTTGCAATTAGGAATTGTAAATTGGGGGTCTCTTGGTGGGTCTCACTTTATCAACTGATCTTGATCCACTCTTTGTATTTGACCCTGTATTAAGTTGTGTCAATTGTGATTAAGTTTGAAAAACATCATCATTTCTGTTTTGTGCTTACATGATTCATATTCTTGAATTTATGTGTTTGCCACTTAGAAAAACTGTACACACTTTACAAAGGGTGTGAAGGAAAGGGGTTGATAGGGCCTAGGATAGGTCAATCTGGCCATGTGTACTGCATTTTATACGTGTGTTTCAATCATATATGTATATATACATTTATAGACTCCTTATTTAGCTTTACTTTTATATTAGAGCTGAAATTAGTTGAATGATCAATGGACAAATCAATTAATCAGTAATTCATTTATTAGCTACTTAATTAATCATTTAAGTTATTTTTAAAGCAAAATGCCATCATATCAAATCATATCATATCATATCATATCATCGACTCCTGCTGGAATTTCCATATTTATATTGTCCATAAACCTGAATGTCATAGCAAAGTGAATTTTCACAGAACATTTTACTGCCCGTTTTGCCACTGTACTACGGTAAAACATGGACGCTACATTTCAGAGCTGACAGTGTGGTTAGTTGGAATAACTCACTGTTTTCCTGGTGTGTGAGTATTCTTGTTAACTGTATTCTAAATGTGTCCTTGTTTCCTTTACAGTCAACGAGATGATCTAAATAGCCAGTTTCAACTGTATTCAGTGACAAAAGTAGCGTTAAGTAGCGGTGAGTAGTATCTGTTAGCTAGCAGTTCTGTTGTGCTATGTTAGCCGAAACACACGAGGAGACCAATCTTGTGTTAGCTTAGTTTATAGGCTAGAAGCGAGCTATCCATACTATGAAACTTTAAAGAATCCGCTTAATCAGCGTGACATATATCTTATAGACAGATGTGTTCGCCTCATAGATTACCACATAATGTCGTTTCATTTTTAGGTCGTGTGGTTAAAATCTGAAAGCTTATAGACCAATTAATAACCTTGTTTTACACCAAATTTAGACCTGGAGGATTTTTATGCATGCTAAGTTCATAACTTCACTGAAATAGCCACACAAGATTGCTGTACGTTGATGAAAGCGAATATTTAATGACTTTAATTGCGTTTTGGAAGATTATGATTATGCCGTAGACAATCACATGCCTCTATAAATAGTAAAACAGGTTAAGTAATGTTTTAAGAAATACACACGTTTGTCTGTAAGCGAGACCTTTTTAAATGCTCAAATTTTTCAGTGGAGATTAGTATGAAGATTTTTGTAAACAAGAGAGAACCCTGGGACGTTTCAAGCTAATTTCAAGCCAAAGTACAGACACTTTTTATAACTTGCCGCAGTAGGAAACGAGTCGTTATGTGTGACACAAGCTTTGTTTACAGTTGTCACCATCAGTGTGGCACATGTGGGCTGCTGCTCCTGGACACACGTGATCAACGACAACAACATTTAATAGAGTCAGCCACAAGGTGGCATGCTATAGTCAGCTGGGCCTTGATTCATAATAACAACCTAGTAAACTGCTGTGTATTGTTATCCTGTACAGACAAAGTGAAATTTAAGATTCTTCCCATCTTTGACATTACAGGTCTGTACAACATCAATATTCATAATGATAACTCCTGCCTTTGACCTGAGCCAAGATTCCGACTACTTGATCCTCAGCATCCGTGTGCCCTACACCAGAACGTCAGAGTTTGACCTCTTCATTGATGGAACAGATTTCAAGTTCTATGCCAAACCCTACTTTCTTAGGTGAGTTGACTAATACACATGAACTGATGTTAGTGTATATCTGTGTTTAACCTAATTTGGATGAATGAGGGGGTGATTAAAGCAGTTACTTCATGGGTTTAGCACCATCTATCTTGCACTTGAATTTGAGGCCTTTATTTTCTGACCTTGACACTTGACAGGATCAAACAAATGAGGTGTTTGTCTTTGCTTTTAATATTTATCACCATCTATCTGTGTATATATATCATTTCCAGATTAACTCTTCCTGGAAGAATAGTGGAGGATGGGAGAGAAAAGGCCAAATTTGACATTGATAAAGGTAGGTCACATGATTATATGATGATGTCAACATGTACAATGATGGTAAAACAGCACGACTTATACTGGTTTCATGCTAACAGTTGTTGCACTGAAGGGAGCCCAAATTTGCAATGTTGTGGCTTCTGTGTAGCAATCCAAAGTTAGATTATCGTCCACAAATTAACAACATCATCCAAAACTGAGATATTAGAGATACTCTCAGAGGCAAGGTAGCAATTTATGAATCATACTGGAGGATCTGATCTCTTCCACCAGTCAGCTTTTTTGTGTTAGTCGACATAATGATTCAGTAACAGGGAAATGCTGTTTTCCTGGATATGTTTGTTATATAAAAAAAAAAAATAACAGTTGTTTTTTTTTCTTTGTCAGAATGTGCTGACCTTTCTCTCAGCAGAGGAAAATAATAGTTTCCCAGGATCTTATTTTTAAGTTTTTACAAATGCTATGTCAACATGCTGAGTTATACACCCCACAGAAATGCTGAATAGGGCTGTTAACTTTCCGTTCTGTTTATTTAAAGTATGTAAACAATTTTATGAGTGGAGACTGCAGATGGTGGTTAATTGTGTAACTTTTTTTTGGCATTTTCAGCTCTCTTAGTTTGAAAGTGAAGATATAGACACAAAGGGAGAGAGAGCGTGTATGACCTCCAACAAAGGTCTCTGACCAGAACTGAACTGGAGCTCCCCAAATTGGTGGTACTTTCAAAAAGATATAAATAAATAAGTATAAATTAACTGTGCCTTTTGTAAATATTGAACTTGATGGTTCCTTCTTGAGAGCCACCGCCAAGCTCACTGAGCTATCTATGATGTCATGATGAGGAGGTCTCTGCACTTTTCATTAGTGTGAGGACTCAGGGGTGTGTGTGTGTGTGTGTGTTTGAATGTGGCCTACAAGAGTGCAGGTGTGTGATCTGCATGTGGTGTGTTATTTTTTAAAGAAGGACATGTACATGTGTGCACGTTTGTAAAAAAATAAGTGTCACATTTTAAAGCGTTTGCAAACCAACCGTGATGATTTCTATGGAAACAAGCTGTACATATTCAGTGAAAATGATTGACATTGTTGTAGAGCAAATCTCCATAGCATATGGCTGTGCTTGCTTTGCATGGTGTTGGTGACCAGCTATTGCAAGACCCTGAAGCATTGTTCCTAATTGCAGTCAGTGATTGATCCCCAGGGTGTCTTTAGTTTGCACTTGAGTCAATCCGCCAGGGTAAATTAACCTACTGATCATGTTATTTCATATCATTGAAAGGGCCACTGGAACCATCAGTAAGATCATAATGATTACAGCCTGCAGACTGCCTGTAGTATCTCCTTTCACAGTGACAGGGAGCTCACACAGGATTTTCTTTAGATATATAACAAGCAAATGAAACATGATAATGACTATTGGCATGACGTTCACTATTGTCTATACACTACTCTCTGTCACTGTGATCTGTCCTTGACTTTCCGTTGCACATAATCAGTTGTATTGAAGTTGTCTTTATGGAGACGTCTGCCTTATGGACTCTGACACCTCGTTGCCCGTCTGTCAGCATGGCCCTGGTTAACACGCTGTGTCTAAATAAGCCTGTAACATCTGCTAATAAGGCTCTGCTAATGAGTGTCCTTGTTTAGACTTATAATGAGCAATCATTAAGATCCCTCTTTCAGGCTCTCCACTCTGCAAGGCCTGCAACTCAAGCAATTAATCAGCTTCTATCGTAAAGTGCTTGTAAGCTTTAACACTTGGGTGCATTGAAATTTTATGAGGTCTTTAGGCGACCATCATATTATCTATGTGGTGAAGGCAAATCATTCTTATTCATCTGTTCAGTCTTAATAGCAGTTTGTAAAGCAACTACTTCATTTTGAAGTATTGCATGTGCAGGTGGCCTGATTTATCTGCTGCTGCTTGTTATAAAGAGATACTCACTTTCAAATTCAAATTTGTGACTGATCAATCAACACTGTCTTTTTTTCTCTAGGATTTAAATGAGTAGGTAAGTAAAGTCTGTGATCAGTCAGGGGGCTTCATAGTCTGTTATGTATTTCTCATCCTCTCCTCCCTCACATGTTGTGAAACCTGCGGATGAGATATTTGACTTCATCACGTCACATTTCATTTTAAAGCGAGGATTTATTCATTTCTTTGATTTAAACAATTTTTTCAAGAGAACGTTATTAATATTTTTTATGAAAACAAAAATCAGAAATATATTGTGAGTTGAAACTAGTTCCTTTTATGTATCCCATTTATGTTTGTATTATAAATATAATTAATTTTCTAGTATAAATGATCAATAATAAATTAAATAAAATCTGATCTCCATTTACCAGAGCCGAATGTAATGTTTAAAAATGGCTTGTTTTCTCATCACTAGACACACAAATTAGTTTTACTCAGTTTACAGTGTAATACCCTCATTTGAGAAACTGTAAATCACCTTTTTTTGTAAGTAATAGATTATTAATCATTTATCAGGATTCAAAAAACAATGACTGTCATTTAATAGTTTTGAGACAAGAACATCATATCTGCAGATCTAAGGTCAAAGTTTTAAAAAGCACTGGGTTCAGTTTCCTCAAAAGAAGACCTTAAAAGCCAGAGGTGACATGCTTGACCAACACTGATAAAAGACTTGACTTTCACTTGGTATTCATGACTTAGACTTGATACAGGTTTTTTTTAATTAAATATTTGCATTTTCCAAGATATTGATAAGTTACATATTCTTTTTGAAACATGATTGAGTGATGCCAACGCCAAAGGCAGCTATGGGCCTGATCCAAAAATACCAACATTTGGATTGCAAGAGGAAAGAGAGCAGAGCACCATGCAGGTTCCACATTGAGATGTTTTGTAATAGCAATAACTACATTGGCATTCAGTAGAGCACATACCTCCGCCAAGGCCAAACAATCCTACACGTTAAAGCAAGTGAAAAATTCCTGGATCCGTGCCTTTAACCAGATCTGCACCAAGATTTAATGGGTTCTTCCCTGACTCCCTCCAACATGTTTGGTGCAAATCAGTTGAGTAATTTTTTTCCTGACCTCTGTATTTAGCCAATTTAAATGTGGAAACTGGGATTGATCATCAGAATTTCATATAACTTGACTTGTGACCTCCTTAGGACTTGCTTGAGACTTGAAGGTTAAGACTTGAGACTTGCTTGTGACTTGCACATGTGTGACTTACTCACACCTCTGTTTAAAGGTATAAAAAAAAAAAAATCTTAAATTTCCTAAAGTCTAAAGCAGTTGGCAGTCATGTTAGTTATCACATGTTTTTGTATGTAATTGTGGGCTGTAGGGAGATGTCACACTCCTTTATACTGAAAATGGGATTGTGACAGTGGATTGTGCTGCAGGAGGCTGTTCAGTCCTTTTCTGTGGAGTTTCACTCGGCAACATCAGACCTGCAGCAAACACTGTCGCTACTACCAGACACAGTAGCTGCGAAGTTCATCGTCTCATAATGGGAAGTGTTGATTTAAGCAAAATTGTCATTAATCATTTTTAATTGGTTAATACATCCGCTTATCTATGTCCAGGTCACATTAATTTAATTAATTATGAGGAGTTATTGTTATATTCTGCCGGGAAGTACTGAAAAATGTGATTAATAATTCATGGCAAGATTGTCCCTACTGGTTTTCCATACCTGCATATTTTTGCCTGATATGATCAAGAAATTAGCGTTAAATTAAATTCTGTGTGATAAAGAGATGTCAAAGTTGAACTTGATGAACAATGCAGAAACCGCATATGTGATAAATAACAGGTACCTGAATTAACAGAAGATCTGTGCTGGTTAAAAACCAGCCCTTCATGTCCTACCTTGTTGTCTCGTCTTGTTTTCATTTATTTGTTTTTTTAAATTTATTTTGTGTTTCTTTCCCTGTAAAGCAACCTTGGTTACCTTGAAAGGCGCTATAAAAATCCAAGTTATTATTATTATTATTATTATTATTATTGCTGTAGGTCTTTTCACTCTTCGGGTCCCTAAGGAGACAGCTGGGGAGCACTTTGAAGGACTCCAGATGCTGACAAGTCTCCTCGCTCCAAAAGGCTCCCGTTCAGCAAAACCACTGGTAGAGGATTTAAGCACAGGTACGTCAATTCTATACATGGGTTTAACTGAAAGTCAATCATTTGGAGTATATGGATAAAGGCAAATTAACATGGGAGGGCGCAGTGTTAATCTAGAACCAACCATAACTTCTTAACATTTCATAAGGATGCAGTGAAAGTGCAGGAGATGACGAGGAGGACGATGAGGAAGAATTTGACTGGCAGGTTGAGCAGGAGATGTACATGGAGAGCTCTGAGGAGGAGCTGAGAGCTCTGCAGAAATACGGCTTCGGCAATCAGAGGTCTGGAGTGTTTGCCCGATTACAGGTAAGAGCCATGGATTAAGATTCTTCCCTTATCTCTGAAATACTCACTTCCTTTAAGAATTTGATTAGACAAAGAACAAATAAAGTTTATATGACACCACAATGCTGTCCTGACAGGAGGAACTCAGTGATGTGATCGATATCATGAACCCAGAAGGAACAACAGCAGCAGAGAGGAGACAGGCGAGGCTGGAAGCAGAGGCAGCTTCCTTTTCACCTGATCACTACCTGTGAGTTTATCAAAGAAAAAACCTCTAACACTGTTGAATCTAGCTTTTTTTTTTTTTTTTCTGGGCTGTTTTTGTCAGCTAACATCCATGTCACATTGCAGGGCTGATTTGTTTGAGGATGATGAAGTAAAGGGACTGTTGAAGTTCAGACCGTGGTGGACAAAGCTGAGTCCTTCCACAGAGCAGGAGGGAGAAGCTGGTGAGTTCACGTTTTCCTGTCATAATCTGTGATCTGTAGACTGTTTCACCTGACTTGTGTTTCTGGAATCGGTCTCAGGTTTGGCGCCTTAAAAAAGTAATGCATAAAATTATTAGAGTGTTATTACTGATGCATCCAGTTATAAGCTGCATTGTACTGTTGTAGCTAGCACAGCTAGAGCTAGCTTTTACTACTTTATATGACACTTGATAGATTAGTCTATTGGCCCCAACCCAGGGGTCAGGGCGCTCCAAAGAGTCAGAAGTTAAACCTGAGCGCTCATGAGATAATTGATTTAATAGAAAAGTAGAAAAAAGAGCACAGTGTTTTGCAGCACAGATCCATGCTCAGTGTTTCGACTTTTCTCTAATCCTAGACTTTTTTGTGAAATATTGGATCATTTGATTTTTTGGGGGGGTTTAGAGGGACAATCAATCTTTAATGGACCTGCTAATAAGTCATAGACATCTGTGACAAGGGCCTCAACTGGTCACTGTTATAATGTCACAAGTCAAAAAGGTTGGAAACTGCTGATTAAATCTTTATATCTTATGAGCGTCTCATATACCTCTTTAATATAAAATCTTAATGTGGAAAGTCAGTATTACCTGAAGCTGTGAATGGAATGGAGTTAAAATATAATATTTCCCTCTGAGATGTAGAGGAGTAGAATTATAAAGTAGCATTAAATAGAAATACTCTACCCCAGTTTAGAACAAATACCTCAAAACTATACTGAAGTCCAGCACTGATGGAGAAGCCCTGAGCTGTAGGGTGTATGGAGTAGTGTGTGTTTGCACAGTAAACATTGGTAGAGTGTGTGGGAGTTGTTACATTTGAAGTGTGTGGTTTGTCAAACTCACTTTGCACCTTTTGTGCTCAATGATTAAAAGAAATCTTCCATGTATCTTATCACATATCACATGATGTTTTCAAGCAAATTAAAAGTAACAAACAAAGTAGTGACTGATCGCTACCAGAAGGTGGCATGAAGTTGCAAAAATTGAGAGTGCAATCGTGCATTGTGTTTGATTTGACCAGATTAAAACACTCTTGACGACTATTTTATTATTCCCAGTACACCATTCCAAAACTTCCACTAATAGAATAATGAATAGATCAACTGTATATGCAGAGATCCAAACAGGAATGTGTTGGCCGGGCTGCGTGTCTGCCAGGCACAGACATTGTTCTCTGACAGTATATTAATCCCCAAAGGACACATGAGTCTTTCTGCTGCCCCGCTCCAGAGGAAGGTCAGAGCTCAGCCAGTCGGCCTGAGCTGCACTCCCTGCCAAACAGCCTCAGGGCTCCTCAACAGGAAAGACACTTGCCATTATGAGAGATTGAACTTAGACCTGCCCTAATCACTACATCTCTGTGGTGCCTGTTGACCAATTTAAACAACCACAACGGCTGAGCTGGAATGTTACAACTCAAACAAGGGGGGGGAGCAGGATTTCTACCCTCTTGCATTTACAATAATTTTTTACAAAAATGTAGGTTTTCTTTTTGCAAATCTGTTTCAAATCAGCGACTCGTTCACTTAGAATCAGACGTGCTGCTTGTTGGCTGGAGCCTCGCAGCTTCATGTTCAGTTCAGCCCCTTGTACAGGCGCGGTAGCTCGTGAAGCCTCAGCACTGCGAGAGACTATTTAATTGTGCCACCCCAGCACCTCTAACAACCTGCTAATTCCAGCACTTCCACTGTTTAAGCAGGCGCGGGGCTCACAGCCATATGTGTAGTACATGGGTGCTGTACGCTTGAGGGAGGATTTAGATTAAACAGATAGCATTATCACAGGAGGGGAGCGTTGCCGGCCGCGTTTCCGACCAACGCAAGGGCCCGATCGCTGACGAGCAGCCATCAGTCAGCAATGCAGAGGCCATTAGCCGCAGTCTGAGGTTAGCCTACCAAGAACATTATGGTTCCCTGTAGCCCCGCCGGCTCCCTCGCCTCATTCTGCATTCTAACACAGAATGCCGCAGTCAGGAGCCCAGGCGTAGATAAATGGGCCAAATTAAACTTAATGGCTTGATTGACAGGTGGAATAGCATTAGCCTCAGCTGAGTGTGAAGAATGGCGTCGGTCAGGAGATTTAAGCAGCTTGCCATCAAATCTTTGAAAGCATGCTTGTGATTTTAACTGTAATATATTTCAAATGGAGAACTACAACTCTTCCATGTGGGTTTCTAGACCCCCCATCCCCCCACCATCCCTTCCTCCTTCACTTCTGCTAAGTCTGATATATATGTCAAGTGGCAGATGGATGTGGTCACAAGTGCTAATGAAGTAGAAACTGGCCCCCTTTGTGCTCCCCAGTGTCAGGGCCAGCACGCTGACAGGCCACAGCTGCCCACTGGAGGCCTGAATTCGCACACCGGCTCAGGCTAAATGCTCCTGACAGCTCGGCCTCTTTACCTGCTGCACTTTGTTACGGCCGAGTTTAGAAATCTGACCTTTTGACCAAGATCGTCTTCTGTTGTTGTTTCAGGCTCCTGATACACCACCCAAAGTTTACACTTTGAGCAGACTGTATCATTAAATATCCCTCTGATTTCTACTTGACACGATCACAGCATGTCCACACACAAAATTAACCATATCTGCCATGCCAAGGTCACATGTTGACCCCTTGCATTGGTGAATTTCTGGGAGCGTTTTCCAACCCTCAGCAGTATTTTTACGAAGCATATTTACTCCATGCCATCAGGCCATCTGGACCTGTAGAGAGCAGCGACGAGCCAGGCTGCCTTTCCAACTGGTGGAATTAGGTCGGAAATTAATTTGCAATCAGGAGAAGCCCTCATACACTGCGTGCTAATGCTGGCCAGAATTGATTGGCTCCATAGTGGAGATGAATGAACGCTGCGCTGGGTAAATCTATCAGGTCTGCTCACCTCACTTCACCACTTTGGCTGCAGAGTTAATAGAAAATATATCAGCATCATTAGGCCGCCGTGTATACCTTGGAAGAGGGTGAGTGAGAGCTCTCTGTTTACAATTTGCATTTAGTTATTTCGTTTTTAATTGAGTTGTGCAGCATTTCTCTTCAGAGCAGAAGAACTGACATCTACTGGATCGTTTCTGTGTGAATGATGAGCTATGAATACGTTTGCTTCAGTTCAACATTTGTATTCTACATTCTTCCCCTTATAATTTTATTCTTCAAATGCCTGTGCGTCCATGCATTCGTGTGCTGTGTGTGTGTGTATGTGCGTGCGCTTGTGTGTGTGTGTGTGTTGCTTGTGACTCTGCAAGTTTGTGCGTTACATCTGTGCTTTTTTTAAATGACACTTTCATCCCTTCCCTCCGTGTGTGTGTTTTTTGAAGAAGAGTGTGTGCAGACAGATGTGGGCACGCGGGTTTGTGTGCGTGTGCATCTGTCTGTGTGTGTTCTGCTCAGCCGTGCTCTCCCGCTGCAGCTGCACCGACACGGGACTCAGGTAGCATCTGCAGGGAGCAAAAAAACTGACGTAATGCAGCGGGAATCTCCCTCCCAGCAGAGCCAAGTTCCCACTGCAGCCAGAGAGATCATTCTGAAACGCTGTGTGTGTGCGTGTGTGAGTGTGTGTGTGTGTATATATATATAATGTATGTATATATCAAGTGTGCCTGTGTGTGAGTTTGTGTATTTGTGTACTCTCTCCAGCCAGTACACACCAGTGCGTCTCGCTCATCAGGGGCTCAGTGCAGGGACTCTCCGCTCCTCATGCAGAGAGAGGAATTGCTTTCAGCTGTTTTATAAGCTGCTGGGAGAAAGAAAAAAACAGTTGAGTTACAGCGTGTTCCTGCAGACATTCAGCGCGCCTTTCAATACTGAACGATGCAGATAGCTTAAATGGGATTGAAGTCTGTTTGTGTTGCCCCATTAGGCCTGCCACAGATCCTCATTAAGCAGATGTCTCTTTCAAAAGGCTGGAGTTAGTGAATTTGCAAAGAGCAGGGAAGCAGAGGTTTTGAGATATTTTCATGTGATAGAGCTCGGTATTTTCTCAATGCAGAGCTGTTCAGCTGTCAAACGCATACGAATGGGATCAGATTTACTGATTTCTGCTGGTTTAATGTAGGAGTGTTTGGCCTGTTTTGCTTCTGCTGCTTATCAACCTCAGTCAGGTGCCCTGTGACAAGGCACTTTGCCCCCAACTGCTCTAGAATAACAGCTCATTGGCCAAGAGTGGAAAACACCTGAACAACAGGAAAATGGCCAAGTCTCTTCTTCTTTTTCCTTTTGGTCCACAACCACACACACACACACACACACACACACACACACACACACACACGCACACACAACCGTACATCAGAGGGAACATCTGGTGAGATATATATCCCTACACTAGGGTCCACAGATTCCCTGTGATTTTAAAATGATTGCTTCTCTGGAAATATCCCTTATTTTCCAGGATTTTAAAAACAAGGCTATGTGTAATTAATCATAAAATCAGTCAGTACTTTAACACTAATACTTATTCTGATGTTATTCTCTCATATTCATTAGATTATGTGGTAGTAGAGGAACAGTTCCTCTTAAAAATACACTATATTTGAGTCGAATACTCAAGTACTTCTACTACTCATACTCCTGAAATTGCCAGTTTGAAAAGACAAAAGTGGTTATAGGAATTAGAGATGCACCAGTCGATCAGCTGGCGATTGGAATCGGCCGGTTTTCAGCTCGATCGGCCGATCAGTCTCAGATATATCAGATTCTGTGTCAGTCACATTTACACTCATGCACCGCATGACGTTTCATGTCATGCACACAGCATCACGGACGCACACAACATGTCGTCACGTTGAAGCTCATAATTTGTAAATACCTGTCAGGTCAAGTGGAACTGTGGAAGAACAACCGCAAAAAACATTTTGAACAACGAACGTAATCAGACACTTAAAACAGCATCACCTCACTGAACATGTCCAATTTCAAGAAGCTAGCAAAGGCGAAGCAGCTAAAAATAGTGCCACACCGCTGAGCTCACCTGTGCATGACGGCTGCCTCACTGAACCTCTGCTGTGCTGCGACTCGCAGGCATGTGTCCACACTCCCAGCGTCGCTGCTGTGCCTTGAATAATGGCCTACAATAATAATGATAATCATCCATTGATAATGAGCGGTCCGAAAAGTGAAGAGTTGTAAGCAGAAAACAATCACGTGACTTTTGGTTACCCTCATTCAGAGCGATAGAGAGGGAGAGAGAAAGAGAGAGCCCTTCACCTAGTTATTTAACAGGTTATAGTCAGTGCTTCATTATCAACACACAGTTGAAGAAAAGTTACCAAACGTTTGTGTAGATGTCAATTATAGTTCTTAGAAAGAAAATTGCATTGAGTGCATCTCCAATAGGAATGTGTATGACTGTCTTACTGCTGACCTGACGCTGTGTTGTGAGGCAGTGGAAACTTCGTTTCATGCAGCTGCTGTGTCAGTGCGTCGATTCTGCCGTTTTAAGGAGGAGGAGAATAGTTCCTCTGGGTCTAGTCGTAATGTTAAGGCTGCCACCTGTGCTTGATGTCCACTCACTGAACACCGCTCTGCACTATTATCCATACCGCTTATCCTTCTAGGGTGATTGGCTGATTCCCAGATATTGATATACGGATCGTCCTGAAAAAGTCTTTGGCATCCTAATTTCATTATGCATGATAGCCTTTAGTACACAAACACACAGACGCACCCAGAAACACAAGCACACACATGCTTGAAATCCCAGCCTCCTGTATGTACTTTTCCCAGGGAACAGGAGCAAATTTTGGCTAGAATGTGCGGGAAATACCAGGATCTCAATCTTCAGCATTTAATCGCACTTTAAAAATCTCTGTTTTCTCTGTCCAACTAAGAGACAACAACACAGAGAGAGAAAATTATGCATTTTCAGATTCAGACAGCTTAGTGTGGACGTAATCTTAAAGACTTAAAATACTAAACCCACTTTATTAAGCCGCTTTTATCCCATCAGTGTTATAATGAGACGTTGTACCTATTATCTTGACACATGATGGTTTCAGTATGATTTTAGTGGGAAAATCATTTATTTGTGTTTGTACCTTGCGGCTGAAAAGCGTGTTCAAATGACAGTGGTCTGGTGGTGCAGAGAGTTTGTAGAGTCATACGCTCCCTCAGAAGTGTACGTGTAAAAAGGAGTGTAAGCAACCACCTAACCACCACCACTGCTTCTCACACCCACTGTTGGTTCCTTTTTCACGTCTGTGTCTCAGTCCTTTTCAAAAATACACCACAGACTTGCGGTGACTTGAAATGACACGTCTAACTGTAAAATCCTCGCTCTCGTGCAGCTGTGTCGTTCACCAACGACGAGAAGGAGCAGCTGAGAAAGTTCACCAACCGCTCCTACCTGCTGGACAAGACGTCCCGTCACCATGCGTGGCTCAGCCTCGTGGACGTCCTGCTGGCTTATTCCTACGAAATGCGCTCGACGGAGGGAGAGCACAATGTAAGTGAGTGAGTGTGTGTATGTGTGATGGGGCAACTCCTTCTCAGCAGCACTTAGACTTGGATGACAAAGCCCTCGATCCTCAAATCCTTTAGACCCCCTTCCATTTCATTCAGAGCCTTAAGAGATTACCGGCAGATCCGAGAGCTCAGTCCAGGCCTCTTTGTGTCAGTCCTCTGAGGTAGCTGCAGAGAGGCAAGGTGAGCGAGGCTGATTCATTGTTAAAGACGCCTCGTAGGATGTGGGAATCAAATACTAGAGATATTGGATACAACAGGATGTTGAATTAAAGCCAAAAAAATCAATCTAATGTGAGCATTTTGATTTCCAGAGCAAGTTGACCACTTTATTTAACACTTGTTTCATATCGGGATCAGAAATCTGAGCAGCTGCTCGCCATGCTTTTGTCCAAGCAAAATTGGTTGTGCTGCATGTTCTTCTTCTATGTCCAGACTGTTGTTGCTGTGGTGATGAGCGGTTTCCTCCCTCCCTGCAGGTGGAGTCACCGTGGACAATCAGGAAACTCAGCGGGACTCTCTGCTGGCTGGAGGTGAGTTAGTTGATGCACAAGGAAACAAGGTGTGCAGCAGTGAATGATTTACTCTCACATAATCATATCGTTTATTAAATAGGAACAAAGCACATGATCAAACTTTACTGTAAATGTGCCTGGCCCATTCTCATCTGCAGTTCCTGGATAGATGTCATTAGACTCCCCATTTCTTTGCCTTAATTCATGACACATGGGAGGATTTTTACTAAGCCTGTTGCAAATCGGCATCAAGGGCATAAAATGTAGTGTCGCTGAATTTTTTCAATTTAGCAGAGTATTTACTAAGATTACAGATGTAAACAAACCCATCTGCAGTTCATCTGAATTGTGTAAATTAGATCTGATGATGTGCTGTTTTGAGACTTGTCTGGAAAGTAATAGAAAGTGTTTTCTGCCACTGAACTTTTTTCTTCTTTTAAACCAACCTTAAATTTGTTTAAAACAAGACACTTCTAGAACGGCGTGTGTGTATTCACCCCACAAGAAAAAGACTGTGTAAGAAAATATTAAAAAGCCTGATGTTGTCAGCTCTACAAAAAAAAAAAACTTAAAAAAAGAATAACAACCTACTTAGTTACTGGAGCTGCTGTGAGCCATTTAAAGTTAGGAAAAATAAGCAGGAGGCAGCTGCAGAAAATGGAAAAGTAAAGTTGTAAAAAAACAAACAGTTGTTTCATTGCTGCTCTTTTGTCTTGTGTTGTGGTGCTGAGCAGAGCTCTGGTGAAGTTACTTTAAAAAGCATCTTTCAATTTGGTTTCTTGCTCACTTTGTCTCTCTCACTGTCTCTCCACACATAACTCTCACTCCCTCAGTGAGTGTCCACTAAAACACCGCTGCAGATTTTAAACCTGCTTTTCTCTGAAGTGTTTTTTCATCAGCCACCACTGGTCAGTCTGCAGTGATAAATCAGGTCCTGAGGGTGTTTGTATAAATTTCCATTCCCCTCTGCCATATTTTGGAAGGACATATTACATGAGACCAAACGCTGTATTTTCAGCAGTGCTGCTTTTGTTAATTTACAGGTGCTAAACCTTGTTGCGGTCTTTAGTAAAAATAAGGACAAACTCATTTGGAACATCTAGTATCTTTAGTAAACATCCCCCATAGTGCTTCTGTTTACCCAGTCTCCCATCTTAACATTCATCCTGCAGTCATGCCTCTTCTAAATGTTGCCTCTGGTTTTATAATGCTAGTGCATAGCAGCCCTCAGCACTCCTGCCTTTAAACTGTCTGTGGCAAACAAAGGACAGGTGCTCATTAACAGATGGGACTGGTTTCCATCAAGTTACAGATGTGAATTTAGAACATGTGTTGGCAGGTCCTCTCACCACCCTGCTGTGAAAAGTTTGGTGCTCTGCTATTCCTGAGTATATAACTGCACCTGGAGTATCCTTATCAAACATGCTTAATATTTGCTTTGCTCATTTTATCCCCTCTGGTCAATTCAAATTTCAGCAGAGTGCAACACATCATCTTCTGAAATAGAAAAAAGGACCAAGTTTCATTCATTCCCATCCCTCGTTTCAACTAGCCAGCAAATGGACAAGTTATAATGCTTATTTGTCTGGAAGGGAGACAAATATAGAGACAGTTCATGGCTGAATGGCAAACACACTGCATCTGTACTGTATGTGTCTTACACTCATCTCCACTGTGACCACAGCTGAATATTGGCAATTGAAATCTGTCCTTTTTAGCACCAGCCCTAAGACTTTTGGAGATTGTAATTCTGAAGGCGTCAGAACTCCAGCAGACTTGTTGTATAGTTTATATTGTTGTGTTGCTGGAGTTTTGACTCCTTCAGACTTTTCTTCAGACACCTTGACTTTTAGGTTTGTGTGGGCAAGTGTAAGTTTTCCTTTTTCTATAACTACAAAACAAAGGACAATATATTATCTCCCTTTCTTTGTCATTATTTTCTACAGTTTTCTTTGAGGCAAACTTTGTAAACAATTTGTGAGTGCATTGAACTGTGAACCTTTCAAACACAGAGAGTGTGAACGTGGCACAGAATATCTTAACAAAACACAGTAGTTCGTCTCCTCTTTTGTCCTTGTGGCTCAGCAGCAGCCACTGAACACAGGCTGGTAGGAATGTATTATGTGATGTAGGGATGTTAATAATTAGCCGTTTAACCGTTAATCGACAATAAGAATTATGACCGATTTAATACTGTCGGTTAAACAATTTAAAAAGTATACATATATGAGAGACAACCCTTCCCTCATTGGATACTAATCCTCTTGACTGGTGGCAAGCTAATCACATGCGCTTCCTGAGGCTGGCCACTCTAGCGAGGCGCTATCTCTGCATTCCTGGGACATGGGTAACATGTGAGCGGGTATTCTCCGCCGCAGGTCTCACAGTTAACAGACTGCGCACCAGATTAACCCCACAGCCTGTCGACATGTTGCTATTTCTGAACAAAAACCAGTGGACAAGCTGTCCACAATGCTGAGGACTGAGCTAGACCTGACCTGTTTATTTTATTTTGAGGTCTGAAAAATGCGACTGCAAGTTTACGTCTCGTTCACCTGTTGGCTGATCATTAATTAGCCGAGAGCGGAAGAGGAGGAGGTTTTCCTTACATTGCTTTCTGCACTGGAGGATTCAATGTGTGTTTTTGTTTAGTTAAACTCTTTATACATTAGAAAGTCTGGTTATTATTTGCTATTTATTGTAAGTTGTAAAATATTTTCCGACACGGGAGATAAAGGCTATTATGCCGCTTCTGCACGTGTAAAAATAAGCCCCTTCTTATGGGACAAAAATAAAATAAAATGTTGCATTGGTATTCCATTCTAAATAGTACATTTTAATCTTGTCGGTTAACGATTAATGGTCGGTTAACGAGCATCGGCCAGAAAAAAAAAAATCGATGTATTATAGCTTGGATGTGTTGTAAAGTGATTAGATGGCTTCACTCTGTGTAAGTACTTTGAAAGTTGCATGAATGTTTGAAGGCGCATTGCAGACTCCATCATTGATACTTGCTCTGAAATGAACAGTTGAGGAACCAGGCTCTGTCCATGGCACTAACACGAGCCTGTAATGTGAACTACAGGAAGCTGTCAATTGTTGGACTTGGCACAGAACGCATACAATAGCGGTAACAGGTGTTCCCAGTTTTAAAGAGTAAGTGATAGGCGGTGTGTGTGGCCTGTCTGCTCACATACTGCCACTAGTCAACCGCTTGAGCGTGTGTGTGAATGAAATTAGAAATAGGAGTGCCACAATGATGTCTAACTATCTTAGCCCCTGTCCACAGTAGAGAGAAAATAATTTAAAAAAAGTCTGTTCTCTGGGCTGATGGTGGCTGCATCTAGGGCAAGTGCTTTAAAGAATACACCACTTTGACAGACAAATCACAGTTACTGTGCTTGGCCTCTGCTCATTACACCTTTGTTCTGTTGCTTTCTGCTCTCTATTATCAGTTATTATTCTTTTTCTTTTTTTTATCATTTTTTGGGGCATTTTTGCCTTTAATTCAACAGTTGCAGTGAGAGAGACAGGAAAGTCGGGGAGGGAGAGGGGGGGTGGCATGCAGCAAAGGGTACGCTTCGTGGTATGCCCCCCCCCCCCCCACACACACACACACTTATTTTAATTTTTCTAAACAAAACACAATTCAGTTGTTCTCGGTGTTACGTTATTTGACTTGTAAGAATGCTGCACAAGTATGAAACTGTGGTTTCATCTGTTAACCGCTGTTGATCTGTTTATCAAACTGATAAGATCACAATTTTATTCTGCAGCCTTCAGTTCACCTCTCATCCAGGAGGCTTCTCCAGGCTTCTTCAAGCTTCTAAGGTAAAACTTGGATGAGGGGTGAAACGTCTTCAGGTATCTAAAACCAGGTCCAGTTGCCCTTGATTCCACTCTTGTTGGATAAACGTGACCGGGATCATTCAGAATCTTCACAGACATAAATACAGATCAATCATGATCGTCAATCATGATCATGAAGTGGTCTGTTCCAAGAAGAAGAGTAATCTTTACTGAGTAATCTGGACAACCTTGCTGAGTAAAACCTCACTTGGAACAGGTCTTTTTACATCAGCTCTTGTTCCAGATTTTGTCTTTTACTCAGCAAAGTTTTCCAGATTACTCAGTAAAGTCGTTTCTTGGAACGGGGCCTTGTACCGTGAGAACAATGTCATTGCATCAATGGCATTGATGCACAAAATCATTGATCACAGGGGTTCTTAGCGTTTCTGTGATATAGAACTTTTGCAGGTGTTTTTTTTTTTTTTTTTTTCAAATTTCTCCACTCTATAAGTATTAGTATTGATGAAATCGATGCCTTTCAAGTAATGTGGGCATTTCCTTGGGAAGGGGAAGCCCCTTATCACCACACTAGGGCAGATAAAGCTGACAAAGACCCTTGTCAGAGTTGTATCTTGTATCCAGATATATCCACAGTACTTGTAGATCTATAAATTGTAGTACGTGGCTGTCATCAGAATGCATCTTGTGTAAAGCCAGGTTTATGCTTGATGCAAGGGGCTAACACAAGGCCCACCGTACCTACCTGCATCGTAGATTTTGATCAATCAATGATTTTGCAGATTGATATCCCAACCTCAATACTAGATGGATGAACTGTACATGATCGGGCCATGTTCTGGTATCCCTGCAATGACTGACACATATTCGTATAACATTTCACCTCGTCTCATTGCTGACTAAAAGGCTACCCCCTTTGTAATTGCCATGATTACTTCATTCATTCAGTGTGATACAGAGCAACAGTTGAGGTGAGCAGAAGGTTTCTAGAAGGGATGTCTTTGCTCGATGTGTGGCACTGAATCGGAACAGACGACTGAATCCTTCTTCAGATTCTTCAATGTTACTTTCACAATGTCTAACGGCATCAGAGACTTGTAGGAGAAAACATAAGCAGCCAATCACAGTTCTTGTGGTATAGAGTTGTTGGTTCCATAAGTGTTTCCCTCACTCTGTATTCATATTTCAGTTTTTGATGTTCTCAAACGAGGATATCCTCAGTGTTACTTAACATAGGAATACAGGATTTAATTATTTCAACTTTGTAGTTATTATCTACCTCAAAATGTACACGTTTGTACCTTAACCGTGAGAGTGTTCGGCCTGTCCGAGCTGTAGAAGTGCTCCAACTGTGGCCACCAGAAATAGCTGCTTCCTCTTTGCAACTCTATACTGTAGCCAAGCCAGCCTCAAAGTGTAGTGACATTTTTGAGGAGGCTCAGATCAGTAACACAGTGACCCCCCTTAACGAACAACCATTAATCAAGCTTAAATCTCAAATGACACTTGTGAACAGTTAATAAAGACGACACCACTTCTGCTTCTATGGACCATGCATGGTGCTCAATACAGACCTCTGCTTTATTTACTTCTGTTATTTATATTTTTGTGCTCAGGGGTCTGTGGTTGTTGTTGCCAGTTGTTTCACTGACAACAGTTGTGCATGAACACATACATCTGCCTTGACAGATGATGCAGTTGAATAGGTGATCCTTCATTAATGTTAGGGACTCATTAGAGTTCACACTGCACTACAGATGTGGTGAACGTGTCCCAGAGCATCCTCGTTAGGTGTTGGGTGTGCACACATGATCACCACTTGTGATCAAATCACCAAAGATTCATTTCATTGCTAATTACAAACAAGCCAGTGAAGTAGCTTTCCTCCGACCTCGACCACAGTTAGAGAGGGAATAGTTTTCCTGCTATGGTAACAGTACAGTAAAGAACAGTCTCCACCTGCTATGGTAACAGTCAGGGAGCAGAGCTGAAAGCTCCTATTGACAGTAGAGATGGGAACTGCTAAGATTTTATTGATACCAATGCTATTGTCAATTCTGCCTCAGTGATTCCTGATCAGTCCTGATCAATTTTCTGTGTAGACAGAGTAACATTAGTGCCTATGTGATGCTAATGTAATGTTATGATAACATGGGATATTTGGCCTTGTACTGCTCGGTTAGGAAGCAGTGATACTGGTGCGTTGAATGTCGGATACGCAGCGTTCGTTCCTGGAATTTAAGCCCATGTTGTGTAGGCAGATGTTGCGACATGTTGCTGGTGTTTCCACCCTTATTAAATGACTATTTTACAGACATATGATAAATAAAAAATATACCGGCATCGATAAAAGGAAGTGATAAGCTCGGAGGCATACAGTTCTGACGATTTGGACATTTTGGAATCTGGGGCCATATTACAGGAACTTCCTGTCTTAAGTTAAGTCAAGAAGAGAATAAAAAGCCGATCCTAACTAAGTTTAGGAATCCTATTTTATCTTACTTCATCCTATCTTATCTCAGGTTGAGAAATCCTAAATACTTAAACCAAAAGTATTTGGACTAACATTTATGTCTGTTACCTAGCAACTGACTTTTCTCATCTCATCTGGCTGAGGTACTAGTTTTAGATTTCTCATTGAAATGTACAAAAAATGGAACAAAAACAACGATGGACACTTTTGGTAACATCTGTATAAAAATCCAGAGATGTTCTCTTTGGGAAATTTGCAACAACGCTGACTTGGGAGATAAAAGAGAGAGAGTGAGCTAAGATGGCCACTATCTACTAACGAGTATTTTGTCATCAGACTGCAACGCATCATTAGGGTCTGTCTTAAGCCTCTCAGTTACTTAAGTTCTTAAGCATGTTTACATTTCGTTGGTTGTGTAAATCAGTAGAAAAGCAGCCATGTGGATTAAATGAGTTAGCTAAGTGGTGGACAAATTAAACTTAGGACACATTAAAATGAGTGTTTATTTAAGGTTTTGGTAAGTTAGGAAGCTGGTGTGATACATGTTTCCTGTCTTCAGGAAGTAAGGATAGGAATTAAGGAACTATTCATCTGTTATGGCTTTTTTTCCTAAATTAGGTTCTAACCCTAATTGCCATGTTTACCAAACAGTTGAGATGTGATCGTAAGGTTAGGAAGTTCCTTAACTGACAGTCCCCCCCCTGCCTCCCCCTTCTCCTCCTCCTCTCCTATCCTTCACTTTCTGCTCTACAATGGATTCCTCTCTGTCTTTGACTGCCTGCCTGTCTGTGTGTCACCGCTGATATCAGCTCCGCTTCCTCACTCCATTCTCCCTCCACGCTATCTCTTTTATTCTCTCACTGTCTGTATCTCTTGCCATCGCTTAACATTCTCCCCCCCCCCCCCACCCTTCCCCACCCCCCTTTCCATCTGCTGTATGTTTACTTGTCCTCAGTCAACTGCACTGGTGTGACTGTGAGTTTCCCCCCTGCAGCAGCAGACCTTATTTACACTCCTACTAAACAAGCCCAGGGGAGAGCATGATCCCCAATGACACGCACTCACAAACTCGCAACACATCCTTAACAAGCCACAAAGAAAAGAAGAAACAAGGGATAAAAATCTCTGTTTCTGTCTCCGGGCTGTGTGTCCATTAGTGCAGAGAAAATCTGAGAGTGAAGGCAGTGATTAAAGAGAAGCAGCAATTAACCGGCCAGGGCTGCAGAGGTGTTTAAGAGTTGTGAGCCCCTATTTTGCCAGCTCTATAATTGAGGAGTTGTTAGGAGTAATTAGAGCACCAGCTACTGCAATGCACTCCAATGGGAGCCAGACTGCAAGGGAAAACTCCTGGGCTGAAACATATATGGTTGAACCAAACCGTTAACACATTAAATAGACATTAAAGGGACTTTACCCTTCAGACTGAATTGAATAGAGAAGGTCACTGTCCGGAGAACTCACAGCGAGTAAGTGGCTGCCATTTCTCCCGCATGGTCTACCCATTTCTAGTAGGTTAGAACGCGTCTGACATGAATGAACCACGGACAATGCTGGAAGAGTCAGGTTCAGATGCAGCACATAACCAGAGACTTTATGTGCTGCATCTGAACCTGACTCTTCCTGCATTGTCCGTAGTTCATATGTGAAAGCGGCTTCAGTTTTCACAGTCTAAGTGATCCTCTTCATTTCTTTGTCTCCTTGACAAAAAAAAAACAAAAAAACATGGTCTGGTTTTGTGCTTTATAACTTTCTGACTATCATGTTCTCTCTTTTGCAGACGTACAGCTCCTTGCAGGAGGTCCTGGTGTCGTTTGCACGGAGGGTTTTGTGCTACCCACTCTACAGACACTTTGCATTGGTCTCTGCGGCTGTTCGTGACACAACTAAGATTTTCCAGTCAGGTGAGTGTGGCCAACAGCGACACACACACACACACACACACACACACACACACACACACACACACACACACACACACACACACACAGAGGCTCATAAACACACATTACCACAGTGATCTTTCACCTCTGCAGACTGGTTGTGACCCCACAGTGTCTGCCACATGGTTGTACTCTGTGTGGGCTTTGATGTTTTTGTGCTAAAACTAGAATCTTCCACTAAATCAAACCTCTTTGTGTGGATTCATTTCACTCCACCGTGAACACATGATCATCACTAATTAGTGTTAATTGATTTTGTCCACCCTGTGGTTTCTTCGGAGCAGTGTATTTATATGTAAATAAGGCTTTGGAGTGTGGAGTCAGACAGAGTCTACTGTCTGCCTGTAAGCAGTGGGATGCAGGTCGATTCTGAGACAGCCTGAAAGTCAGCATGCTTTCATGGTTCAGTGCCTAGCAAAAAAAAAAAAACAGCCTGCTGGACAGACACCGAGTTTGGAGAAAGTGGTTCATGAGCATACTGTGGCGCACGTTTGAAAGTAATATTCCTTCAGCTAAGCAAGAGAGTGGCCCGACTCCCACCTCTTCGGGGAGCAAAATGTGGATTAGTTAAAAAGGGACTCTTGACTTTGATATCTCAAAGCCCAGAGTAATCTTTAAATCAAAAGTCCCTGCGGACAGATGAAACTCAGCAGTGTAAACACACTCAGGATGTGTGAGGGCTAAGATTATCCAGCTTGTGATGATTTTAACGCTGGTAAATGACAGCAAATTAAAGGCCTTTTAAGCTCCAGATTAGCATTTCTGCGCATCATTAAGTAGGAAGATGAGTTGATCAGGAGAGCCAGGGAAACAGCTCTTTGACTCGCTCTTTCCCTCACCTTCTTTCTCATACCTCTCATACCTCCTGTCATAATAAGATTTCTTATGTTCATCTCAAGCCACAAATTGTTCTAGTGTTTTCTGACAACTCCTACAACATCATGCTTGTCCAAACAGCCTAATAACAAGAGGCTCTGTTTATTTATTTCAATGTAAGGAAGGGGGGAAAAAAGCCAATTATTTCACTATTATTGTTCATAATTTTAACTCCCGACTCATAAAAGTTATTATTTGCAGGCATTAGGGATGTATGAGTAATAGAGCTTTTCCTTAATGAACTGTAATACAGTTTTTCAGGCTGGCGCGTGTCTGAGGGTGTGTTTCCTCCCAGCATTACTTCACGCACTAATTAATTTGTCAGGATAAGGCAAATGGAAATGCATGCTCCATTTTTGAGGCACTTCATTTAAGTGGCTGCGAAAGCAAACAGTCATAGGAATTAGTAAAACAAACCCATTAATGGCAGCGCACAGGTTAAGGCCTTAGAGGAAATGTTATCCAGGGGTAAATATTTGAACAAGCCTCTGGCAGCGTGGCGGCGAGTATTCTCAAGGAGCTCCTCCACCTGACTCGTAAGTGTCTATAACTAAAGAGCCACTGGGCAGGTACAGAGGAGCGCAGGGCCTGAGGGGCCTGCAGGTAAGAATTGGCAGGGAGAACCTCGCGGTAATGTTGCTGTCATCATCGGACTGACAAGACGAGAACTGCCAGATGTGCTCCTCTGTTACAGATCCTTCCGCCATGCGTCTCTGCCATCATTCACTCAGGGACATTTCGCGGCTGGTCATGGAATTTCTTCTGGGATTCTGGGAGAGCAGGAAAAGTTTGGGAATTTAATCAGTGGAAGTCAAATTTTAGGTCAAATAAGAACTCTGACCTAGTTATGGAAAATCAAGGGAGAGTAATGACATCAGCCCAGGGTGTGAACACTTTTGGTTCAGGGTGCTGATGATGTTTTATTGGATGAGATGCATGGTGTGTGTGTGTGTGTGTGTGTGTGTGTGTGTGTGTGTGTGTGTGTGTGTGTGTGTGTGTGTGTGTGTGTGTAAAAAATGACTGAATTAGAAGAAGAGTGTGAAGGAAGGTGTTGATATTGAATTGTGACACTGTCTTGAAGGTTGTCCTAGGCAACCTCAGCAGGCAATTGGTTGACATGGGGAGGTCGTCAGTCGATGTGCTTCACCTTGGCTTTCCACACAATAAAAGCTGGCCCATGTGCTCACCTGCTCTCTCTCACAGCTCGCATGCTACTCAGCCATGTGCTGATTTTATGGCTAAACCCGCTTGACTTCCACACTGCGTTGTTTATTGTGTTGCCTTTGGTTGTAACTGTTTTAGTGTAACCTTTGCATGGACTCGCTTAGTATCACACTCTCTGAGCCAGTCTAGATAATTGACCTGCTGTGAGCAACATTGTGATGTCACTGGGTAGTGCTGACGCTAGATCTGACGCTGGATAAAGATGTGCTTTTCCTGCCTTTGAAGCACATCATCGTCATTAGTGGCACAATCAGACATGCAGAATTCATCCTGCTGCTTTTCCTGCTTTCTGGAAGCTGCCTCTGCTCTTCCTCTCAGAAACTGAAAAGTGAGAATAAATGTTGTCCATATGAGTTAAAGAACCTTTAGTCAGGGAGATCCGCTATCCCCTTTGTTATTTTATCAGTGGAACCACTAGTCCAGACAGTAAGGCAGTGATGGCAGTGTTAAACCAATAAGCATATATTCCTCATTTCTCACTCATATTTCTTTTTTTGCAGATGATGAAGTTTTATTTTTGTCCAAGGTACAGAAGTCTCTCCCTAGTATTTAAAATGTTTCAAAAAGTTTAACTCCTGTTCAACTGGTCAAAATTTGCTCTGATATTATTTAATCCATCTCAAAGTGACACGATTAACTGCAATGTTCCAACAGTCCCTCATTTTAAATATCTTCAAATAGACATAAAAGCTGTGTCCTAATTCAGGGGCCGCATTCTTTGGAGGACGTGGGCTCCGCAGCCATTGTACCCAGCGACTGCCGAACCGAAATGAAAAGTTCTGGCATACAGAGGATTTCCGCTTTGCGTCACCAGCTGTACTCGGCCTTACCATTGTGTCACAAAGCACACTTCCTGTCACCTAGCAACGTTGACAGCTCAGGTTGTGGTTGTATCGTATTGTACCCAGAAGTTAAATCTCAATATGGCGCCAGTAATTTAGTCAGATGCTCAACTAAGCTGAAACCCAGTACTTACATTCAAAAGTGTAATCCTTAGGCTCTTTGCCTATTGGACACAGCTGCTGTATATTTCTCTCTAAAAAAAGATTATGACAAAGCATTCTGTTTGAATATTTAACACTATTCAAAGAGATGTGGATGGAGCATACAACGTACCCAACTCCCTATTAGCGAGGATTTCAATCATTAAAATAAATGTTCTACTTCTCCATCCAAGTACTAGAAAGTTTACCTAGAATAATCTCTCAGTTCAGATGGAAATGCAAACATCCAAAAATGAAAATAAAAATGAAAACTTTGCAGCAAGGGAAAGGAAACTGATCATTGTGGCTGAAACTTTCTGCATCTTTTATTAAGCTGGTTCAGTGATTCTAAATCTATTCCACAGCTCCAAGAGAAATGTAAATCCAGTCCCTCTGAAACAAATAATATTCATATATTGTATTCCTGTGTTAGACAGTGTAAACTAAGGTGCAGTCCAATTACAGCACGTGCATGAGACTGAAAAAATACTTCAATGGGGGATTCAAGTGGCGCATGAGACGTGTATTTGTTTACGTGATATGATCCACATTCCCAACTGGGCCAATTTTAATGTTAAAGCACTGGTCCTGCTTATCATGTGTATCATTTATGATTATATTATGAATTCTTAAACCACAGAACTCTATACAAATGTGTTGGAAATAAAGCGTGGAATGATTTGCTGCCTCTGCAGTTTTTGGCATCGCCACATTTTTGTCCAGAGGACACAGCAGCCTTTGTTTTTGGTCTCCCTCACTCCTACCACTGCATCTATGCAGGCCTGCTCTTTCAGCCGCTGTGGACGACTTACTGCACGTTCTTCCCCACTCATTGGATAATCTGCTCTTGCCTAATTAGCATATCTTTATCACTTGTCATCGGCATCTTACCAAAGATCACAGAGCTGAACTGGCGTCAAGAGCAACCTTTCCTCTAATTTTCTGCAAACAACTCATGAATCTTCCCTGTGAAAAAAAAAGTCAAATCTTGGAAGCAAGTGTGTTTTTTCCTCACATGATCCAAGATCCTGAATTTGAGGGCAGAGTTCCCTGCATACGATCCCATGTCTAAATGAGAACCAAATGTTTGTTTAAGGTTTTCCTCTCTGCAAGTGTGCTGTTTATTTTGATTGGGCTGGAATTTCTCTGGACAATGCCAACCAGCTCTGCAGAGGTGGAGAGCAGCATTTTCTCTTGCCCTCAGTGGATTGTTGGCCACATCATGAGGCTATTTATATGCCTGATTTGGGGGGGGGGGGGGGGGGGGGGGAGTGCTGTGGCAGTTTGGCTTGTTGGGTACTTAAGGGAAAAGTCATTTGTCAGAATAACAAATGGAGATTCTGTGTCGTGTAGTTCTGCGTTTGTGGTGTTGAACACTGGCTGAAACAATTTCAGAACGCACTGCCAAAGCGCAGGTGACAACCGTAAACCACGTCATACGTGCCACAGCTAAAAGCTCCCACCATTTAGCTGCTAAACTCATTTGAAAGTTACTTTGATTATTTATTTAAATCCTAATTTAGAATCAAACCGCTGTGTAATTAATCATATGCTGAATGCATGTACCATATGGTCCAGTCCACACAAAGTCCACATTAATTTAAGACATAGATGAAACTGGACAAAAGAGATTTTTAACTAAACCACAAAATAGCTTACGTAGGTGCTATAACAATAATTATGATACAGATGTATGTATATAATTAGATTAACTTAAATAAAAGTAATTAAAGTGTATCCCTCTCCATTACATTGTTTATGTTAATGGTGGGATAGTATAGCAATCCTCTTGTTCTGCACACATGTAGAACTGTAAATTTTGGCTTGTGCTCTTTCCAGTCCCTGCACTAACTGTTAAATCCCCAAAGGCACACAAATATCCAGAAGAAACGTTGTTTATGTGTTTTACATTAAGTAAAATTTTCACAACAGCTTTTATACAAACTTTAATAAAAGATGCAGATATTTATTAACATTGCATTGCACACCTTTCTTTGCTGCAAACAAACCACAAAGTTGTGTCTGTGCTGTTTATTTAATTGATTATTTGTTAAGGCGTCAGTTTCCCACAGTCCCTGAAGAGGACATATTTCCTTACTCACATGTAATTGATATCATACTCTGCATGTAGTTCTAGTTTTATGTGCAGAGACATTCATCTTGACGTCTCCTGCCTCCACCCCACTTCCATTGAGGTGAATGGAATTTTGTTTATGCTGCTCAAAGCATCAAAAATGGAGGTTTTTAAAACACATAAACACGTGTCCTCTTGCAGAAGGCATTTGCATTCAACCAGAGGGTGGGGCAACAGACTTTTCTCTCAAACTCTTTTGTTTTCTGGACTGTGATTCTTGGCGCTACAGCATCGTCGGTTATTAGTGCAGCCGTAGCCTTTTTTTTATCACCTAATCTTTATAAATCAGAATCAAGCATAAGCCCAGTAGTATCACATTTGTCTGTCTGGGGCATTTCCAAAATATCGCAAAGGCTAATTCAAACGGTAGGCTTCGAAACAGAGGCTGTGTCCATAATTCATAGTAATTCAATGCAGCTGTACTAGAGAAGTGGCAAAATTAAGCATACTCAAATAGATAAGGCTTAACAGATGTTAGATTGGCAAATCCATAGTACAGAATTGTCACAAGACTATAACAGTGTTCAATGTGCTGTCTCTTGGGAGGGGGGGGGGTGACGCCTCTGACACATAAGATTCACAAGCACTAAAAGAACAACGTTAACAAAATGATCTTCCTTATTTAAAGGTCCCATATGGTATAAAGTGAGATTTCCATGTCTTTTTTGATTATAAAGCAGGTCTAGGTTCTATATTAATACTGTGAATGTATCAAAGTGCTCAGTCCACAGAGAAATGCACACAGCCTGTATTCACAAACTGAGCCTTTTGTAACTTTGTGATGTCACAACAAAGCAATCATCGCCCTCAGTTATGCCCCAAGCCCTGCCCACGTTGATCCACCATCCAAACCTTGCAGGATTTGGTTTCTTTGAGTGTTTACTTGAAAACTGCTATATTTTTATTCAATCACTCAGAAAACAGTCAGCCAATCAGAAGAGAGGCTCAGAGCCTCCTCTCTTCTGATTGGCTCACCAACCTGTTGTTACTAGAGCTCCAGAGAGAAGCCTGAGAGAGGAGATGTAAAACAACATTGAGATGATTTTTGTTACTTAAAACCACAAATATATCTTCTTATGGATCAACACTTGAAATAAAACACAGGAAAAGTGTCAAATATGGACCTTTAGGGCCAGACAGAATTTTTAGAAAATGATTTTCTAAAAGCAGTAGACAAAAATAAAGGTGTTTTTTAAAGATTTAAACTGTGTAGTTAAGTGACCTGTGTCGGCCTTGGCGCCCTGCACAGTTGGAATAACATTCATTTCCTTGATGTCTTGAATTATTGATTTCTTTAAAATGTGTAAATCACGACTTCATGTTTGTCAGATCATGAGAAAAATGGATTCAGATTAGAACTATTGTGATGCTGCACAATGGTTGAATGGACAGACTAGAATAGGGTCTAGTCAGACTCAAGTGGCAGATCATCAGAGACATTCAGTCCTATTTTTGACAGATGAAGGCAAACACATTTTTGACAAAGTCAGAACAGAACCACCATTAAATGAAAGCCAGAAATGGAGCCATCGTCTTTGGCTCTTTTGTCTCAGATAAACCAGTTCTTAACCAGGAACTCTTCTTAAACCGTACGGATCAAATTACACTGCAGCTCACTGGGATTTTCCTCTGATCCTGTACCTTAGCTTTTATGTATGGAACAATGACTCCAAGCCTTTAGATTCAAGCTGCGTCTGCCAGCAGCTGGAGTACATTGTCATCCTTAATGCCGAGCGAGAATAACACTGTTTTTCCATTCGCCTGCCACGGTGTGTTTCTGTGCCCAGGGAAAGCCTGTGTCCTCAAATGCCTGCTGGATATTCACAAAGTCTTCAGAGAGAACGACCCGGCCTACATACTGAACGATCTGTACGTCACAGACTACTGCATCTGGATCCAGAGGGTCAAGTAAGTTGAGCAACTCACACATAAATCCATGCGCACACACATACTCCTCAAGAGACCTTCATCATAGAGAGAACTACCTTCAGAGCCAAGGGAAGTGCCACTCAGCCCCCATGATGCATCAGTGCTTTAGAGGAGAGGATTAGACGAGTCATTTGTCACAGCAGGGCCAATTGAACGACCAAAGCCAGCAATAGATGCAATCCCCCTTGTCTCCATTATCGTGTGTCAAAAGTACCATCATTGGGTCTCAAAAGAGCCAGCTGCACTCAGCGGATTCACTTTGTATGAAACTTTTAAGAGCGCACGTGTGTGTTTGTGTGTGTGTGTGCTGGGGCTTCTCACATCATCCGTGGGGTTGTCTAGCCTGCCCCCCCCCCCCCCCAAAAAAAATGATATAGGTCTGATGACTCTCTCCTCCTCCTAGCACATATTTTACAATTACTTACACATTTCAAATGTGAGCCTGCGAGCACATTACTCAGTAATGAGCTCTGTTTTACTCTTGGCCAGGGTTCAGCCAAGTGGTGTGCTCGTCTGGAAAAAGCCCAGTTGAAAAATGTGTGCCTGATGTTATAGGCTCGGCGCCCAGATGCAGACACGATAAAAGGTCTGCGGGGATTTAGTGCTGTTTTTCTCCCCCCCTCCGTCCTCCTCACATTCTCATTTCTACATTTTTCCAGCACAAGTCTTGAATTCTGCTCTTAAAAATGCTACGGATGCCAGGATCTTAATGTGTGGGACAAATCAGCAGATCAGTTTAGCGTTGATGTGATCTCCTCTCTCTTCGAGACAGTGACCACAGAGAGGACGCACACTCTATCTTCCTCTGTGAGCACACAGAGGCGCTGAATCTCTGTCAACTCACTGAAAAACTCAATCAGTCTCTTCCTGGCTGAGGGGCACCGGAGCACTGCTTCTCCTTTCTTTTCCTCTGCGCTACATTGGAACTAAATGTCAACACTTGACCTAACGTGCTGACTCCTACTACACCCCGCATCGATCATTAGATGGATTAGCCCGCGCTCTTGTAGCACTGACCTGTGATTGAATTGTTACATTTCCCCTTTTGTGTTTTTTGTTTTTTTTTCCTGACAATAAAGAAAGTGAAGTTTACAGAGTTTTTTTTTTTTTTTTTTATCCTCGCATATGAAGCTGTCATGTTGTGGAAAGGACGAGCCGAGCTTGTATAGCTTTATGTTGTCTCAGTGTTGGTATTCTGGCTCAATCGAAATTCCATACAGTCTCCACTTATGGTTTGTGAAACTATGTTCCCATGTTGTATGGAGTATAACATAAAAAAAAAAGGAGCCGGCAGTCAAAACGCAAAGCAGCATCGGAGATCCAGGCCGTTTCTCTGAGGTTCGGAACGATCAGTTTCCGAAGAGCGGCCTCCCCTATCACACATGCAGTTTGTTGTGGCAGCCCTTTTGTGTCATCTGACAGGTTTGATGACAGATCGCGTAGGCATTGTTTTCTTCAGTGTGAGATATTCCCCCGTGCAGGATTTGTCATCCTCCGCTAAGTGAGTCGTCTCTGGGAGCCAGGGCTGGTAAAATGAGATGTAATCTATACCCCCCCCCCCGATGCAATCCCTGTATCTTGTCACTCCCCGCTGCCGGCGAGACAGACACGATCAGCTGTGCATGATGGACACAGCGATTAATGGATGTTTGCTGGCTAGGGGGGTTGATTTATTTAATCTCCTCGCTGTCCCCGCATGCATTTCTACTCCTAAAGTTCCTCTGACTGCCGAGACATCGCTCTCAAATTTACAACCTCGTAAAGACTTCAGTGTGATTTAAGCCACAGGGCAAGCGCTTCCCCTTTACTCTCACACACAGAGTCAGAGGAGGACCCAGCACATGGGAGTCAAGAGTGTAACCTCAAAGCACATTGCTCAGTGTTGTGGAACTTTTTTTTTTCGCTATTGTTGTCATCGTTGCAGAATTTAACACTCACACTTCCTCTGTGGAAAGTGTTTTAACTTGTCCCTCGCACACCCATCCAATGCTAATTATCTCCGAACTGTTAGCAGAGAGCATTGCTCCAAATGGAACAGCAGCCTCTCCAGTCAATTAGACTCAGTGTGTGCTTTTGAAGGTCCTCAAATGCCAAAGCCCCTGCAGAGCTTCTGGACTGCAGAGAAAGGGGCGAGTTGCCTCACTTTCTCTCTCTCTTTGTCTTCCCCTCCCTTTATCAAAAAGCTTGGAGAGACGCCAACGTAGATTCATGGCAGCCAGTACAGAAAAAGCTTATAAGCCCTGGTGTTGTGTTACAGTACCTCGGTTAAAATCAGAAGGGCTACAACTTCCTTTCTCAGTGCTGGTTCACTCACAACCACCCACCCACCCTTATTAATTGGGTCAATTAGATTCGAGCAGGAAAGAAAAAGAAAAAAACATGGCAGCATACAAGCGATGTGCTCCAGGGTTAGTCTGAGAGGAGAAAAAGCGAGGCAAGATTCGTGTTTCCATATGAAGTCATTAGTTTAAAGGGGAAAAAGTGGCTCTCTGGGTTTTTTTTTTTTTCCTTTTGTGGAGTGAATTTGCGACGAGATGTGTGAATTGGACAATCGCACGTTGCTCCTGAGGGTGGAAAATGGTTTAGGGACAGACAGAGCCTTGCACCATAACAGCTTATTTGACAGACTCAAATAATTGTGAATGGGTATGTGTGAAGGGAGCAGCCCCCAAAAACACTGGGTGTTGTTTTCACTGAAGCAAAGGAGCACAATGAAAGAAAGAAGAATGTGCGCAGCTCTGCATGAAAACAACAAAAGAAGCTGCCAAAAATGAAGTTGTCAACAATCTTTTTTTCTTTTCTTTTCTTTTTTTTTTCTTTCCTTTACTTTCGGAGTATGAAGCAGCCTGCAGGGTTTCCACACACTCTCTTCCTCCCTGGTCTCATTCATCCTCTGCATTGTGTGCATGACAATGCCGTTGGGGAGAGTTGTGAGCAGATCCCCCGCAGGGAAAAGCATCTGGGGCTCCAACTGCTGGGAGCGTCTCAGGGCAACGGGGTCAAGCATGGGGTCAGTGTGTCAGTGAAGACCGGCGGTCAAATGCCTTGAAAGTGCACTTGTGTGTGGTGGCATGGTGTTAACACACACACACACACACACACACACACACACACACACCCGCTGAGTATGGCTGGTCAATTCACCTCAGTGCACCCCTCTGTGTGATTGCAAATCATAAGGCACTTATTACCCCGATTTTCCCATTGGCCGCTTGGGTGTCATTTTACTTGTGCCCGGGGGCTTTCTCTGGAGAATAAAAATTAGGTGTTAGAGGCTATTTCTGTGGTGTGATGCTCCCTGCGCGGAAGGAAATGGGGGAATTGTGCTGTAGCCAAGCCTGGCAGGTTTTCTGCCCCCCCCCCCCAAACCACGCAGCTGATGTGACACCCAGATGTTTGCTGGAAAGGACTTCCCTGGAAGCATTGCACAACTGTCAGACGCCCGTGCTTGAAACAGATAATGGAGCTGCTCTATCTGATGTTAGCCTCAGCCCTGAAGGAGATCCTAGAGGCCCCGCTGGGGAGAACAAAGACACAAATGTCTCGCAGCTAACAGGGATAAGTAGTACAGATTTCCTCCCAGCATGAGGCCACTCCAGCTTTTTGTCTTGAGTACACTGGCTCATCTTAAACACAGACTTACACAGTATGTTTGCATAATTTCCTCTCTCCATTTGGAGTGCCCACTTCAGTTATTACAGTCGATTAGAGTGAAGGGATTTTTTTTGTCTTTGCAGCTTCTCAGGCCTGCGCATTTAGATGAAGTCCTATTAAACATCTGCCTACAGCTTTTTTAGAGATATGAACAAGAGAAAGTAACACCTGAATACAAAGCAGCCAGGCTGAATAGCTAATACAGTCTTCAAGGCTTGAAAGATTTCATCGATCAAAAGGTGAGAGAGGAGACAGTAACAGTTGTTGTAAATTTCCTGCAATGCAGACTGTAGAGAGTGAACTCAAAATTTTAACTTTTCAAGCTGCATTGTAAAAAAAAAAAAACTAAGAACTTTCAAATCCAAGCCTGAGGGCTTCAACTTTTTGAGCCAACCTACTGTATATTGATGAAAATTTCAGCTCAACTTTTAAACTTAAATGATGAAGTGGGAATACAACAGAGCCTTGTTAGTTGAGGCATACTTTATACTACTACATCCCGACTCAAGTTCCACCAAAACCACAAAAGCCTCAAAGGGAAATTTAGTTTTCAGACAAAGTGAGTGTTATCTTTGTAGATTTTTCTTTTTTTCTTTTTTTCTTTTTTTTTCCTACTGGTTATGATTCTTGTTTTTCAGTCTGTATTATTCATTTGTTCTATGCTTCTTCTTTTTTTTTTTTTGAAGTTATTTTTTCAGGCATTTTTGCCTTTTTATATAGCCGAAGTGAGAGACTGGAAAGCAGGAAGGTTGGGGAGAGAGGAGATGACGTGCAGCAAAGGGTAACGGGTCGGACTGGAACCCGGGCCGCTGCGGTCAGGACTAAGACTAAATGGCACATACTCAACCAGGTGAACCATCTGGGCGCCCCTGTTCTATTCTTTAATTTCAGAGCACAGAGACATTATACTATGTAAATTTCAGAAACTGGAAAAATGGAGGTGTATGCACTACACAGGGAGTGTATAGATACACATAATATGAGATGACATAACAGCACAGATTTACAGACAATATCTCCAGGAAGACATTCATAGTGTGTTGGTTATACACGTGGAAATTGCAACAAATAGTTGCGTAACAAATGACAAAAGAGCTGAGGGAGGAATTTAAACCTAGCGTACTTTCTTACCTTTCTTACGGCAAGCTGTGATTGGCCAATTCACAGCAATGACAACCAAACCTGCAAAAATAAGTTGTAAAAAAAACTTTTTCTTTGAAAATAGGTCAACAGATATTTTTGCCACAACTGTATAAACCATATTTCAGTATTCCTACAGAACAGTACCTCTTTTCTTAGGCAACTTTAAGTACAACCTCCAACACTGGATAAATACATCTGTGTTTCTCGTTTCTGGAATCAGAGTGGCATCCAGTGCCTCGGTCCGTTCCAGTATTCAGTCACACTGACGGATCGCATCTCCCGGTGTCAGCTTTTATCCCCCCTCAGCTAGTGAATGATGCATTTTGCGAGTTACGCTGAGGAGAGCTGGTGCTCATATTACACAGATTTATACATCTGAAGACAAGCTTTATCTGAAATGTTTTCAAGAGCACAGACACGCTGAATGAGTTGCTCTTTCACTGAACACGAGCCTGATGGAAGAAATGTCACATTGTAATTTAGCTCAGCTCTTTCACCTACACACACACAAACACACACACACACACACACACACACACACACACACACACACACACATTCACTCGCTCTTCACATTTTCATCCAAAGACTCTGGCAGATGGAGGCGTCTTTGTCTCGCCAGAAGTTTTCCAACCTTGAAAAAGCCACCCCTCCTCAGTTTAATGAAGGCAAGCCACAACAGCGGTGTAGTAATGACTGGATTGTGTACAACATTATCCCTCCCCCTCCCGGACAGAGCCTTTGTATTCACCGCAGGCCGAGCTTCTCCCACCACAGAGCAAGGCAGGGGAGAGAAAACAAGCGCGCCTTTCCAATGCTAACTCAATAATGACTTCCCACGGGGGAAAGAGAATACGGGGTGGTCTTTGAAGTGGCTGTGCTGCAGGAGGCTCTTCTGCCCCAGCCTCTCTACAGGAAGCTCTCACATGGATTTTATAGAGCCTGGGACCTAAACAGGCTCCATACAGCCTGCGCACACTCATCATCATTAGCCGAGGTTGCGTTAATGTCTTGATATCCTGTAGGTATTGTTTGAAAAAGCTATTTGTCGTTGTTAAACTTGTGCAGGACTTGTGGATTTTAGCTTTAGTCACACATGGAATCCACAAACGTGCTGCAGTCAATTATCCAAAGAATGCATTGGTTTATTGTTGTTCGCACATAAGTCACCTCTTCAGTGTTGACACATGAGCTGATTGTGTATGGAGATTCAGCATTTCTCACATGAGACAAGGAGTCTCCACGGTGTAAACAGAAAAATCAGATTCTCCCACTCAGGGTTTAATCATACTCATTTCTGTGATCTGAGGATGGCAATGCTTTCACTGACATATGTCAGCAGCTATTGCCATGAAATTTGCTGCAGACATTCATGTGGTTACCCTGGTTGAGCCCGTAACATTTAGGCTTAGTCCTGACCGCAGCGGCCCGGGTTCGAGTCCGACCCGTTACCCTTTGCTGCACGTCATCTCCTCTCTCCCCAACTTTTTCAGTGATTCCTGACTTTTCATTTATTGCCACTGTGAGGTTGACAATTGAGGTTTTTAGTGAAAATGGATTGCCATGAAATTTGAGAAATTCATGCTCCCCTCAGGATACACTGTAATAACTTGTAATAGACTCACGCCGTCACAAGGTCAAAGTTTGAATTTGTCCAAAATTTTTGGTGTTTGTCCAGATACCGGCAAAACTACTGACATTCCCATCAGCCTCAGCTGTACTTTGTTTGTAGTGATAATTACCCAACGTTAATATGCTAACACACTTAACCAAGAACATGCTAAATCTTGTACCTGTTTGCTGATGGTAGAGTTCAGCCCAGGCATTCAGACCTCAATAAATCCCTGTGTTAAAACAATGCACGGGGCTGCGTTGGTGTGGACATGTTGTTTCAGGCACTGGTGAAAGACATGAAATACAATCCAGGAAGTCGCGTTTGAGGTGTCATATATCTGTGAATCTGAACAGCGGGTTACAAAACTATGAGACAGGATTTTACAACTAAAACACCAGGCCCACTGGTTCCTGCTGAAAATGTAAATCTTTAAAAACAAAAATATATAATTTCTTTGTTAAATGAGACTTATTCATTTCTACATCAGCTCGGCTGGGTAAAGAAGGAACAAGCAACAGTGACACAGAGAAATAAGATGTATCAGGCTTTGGCAACACAGACGATACTTGTTAGTAGGATGTCATTCTATACTATGACAAACATGGTATAGAATACAAAAAATATAGAAAACCATATTTATGCTTTAATGTAAGAAGCAATCAGCTTGATAATTTCCTCTTCGCTTTGCATGTCTTATTTCTTTTTTGTGTCTTGTGGATTTCATTTGATAGGATTTTCCAGTTTTTATATCATGAGAGCGTTGTGCATTTCAGCCTCACTCACAACTCCATGACTGAAACCACAGGGGAAGATTTTTCTGGAAATCTTGAAAGGTTGAGAGCTGGCAAGTTGCCCAAGCGTCTTAGCAGGAAAATGGACCACAGCTACTGTTTTCAAATTCTGCCACATAGTGACAGAGAAAACTGCCAAAAAAAAAAAAAAAAATTGGATTATGGCGCACGTGAGAGCCCCCCCACCCCCACCCCCACCCCCATTCCCACTTTATTCTCTCCTGTTTCTTGGTGTACAGAGAAGAATGTGCATCCAGATGATATATCACAACTATAAGATCTGTTTACACAGTCCCTCCTGAGGTCTGAAACGAATGCCCAGCCTCCACATGCTGCTTCCATAAACACTTTGCCCTCCAGAATAGGGAGCTCATTAGGACTGCACGGTAATGAGGAGCCATCCTGGTGCTCAGCAGTGGGTTAATTGGGCCAGAGAGGGCAACTGGAGCCGAGTGTGAAAACGTGAATGGCAGCGGAAGGAGTAGCCTCTCCACACGTACACACCCCCTACGCATAAACACACACACCAGCACCAGCTCACACATTTTCATCCCACCCTGAATGGACATAGTCTGAATCGCGGTGACCCACAGAGGTCAGCTCGTAATCACCATGGCAATGGGGGCGGCACACACGCCCTAGCCGAACCGAGGAACGAATAGCAACCACTTAAGTTTTTTGGCAGCATGGCGGGCATTCCCAGCGTGAATAATGTGCAGACAGGGGCCTCCCAACAATCTGATGGCTTTACACAAATGGGGCCTTGTAGGAGGACATTCATCAGCAATAAAACACCTCTCTCTCTTCAAGGAGTCTGTTGTGTCTTCTGTGGTGACACAGCTATAAAACTGAGGCTACGGGACAGGAACATTGTTTAATGTACTGCTCTATGAGGGCATTCTCTTAATCTTAATCTTTGGAGACGTTTGGCTGTTAGGCAGCAGCTCGGAGCCATTCTCTGTCCAGGCTTTTATTGACTGTAGTCCAGTCAGACTTTGTGCACAAACTTTTCAGCCATCCACAGTTCCCCTGCTTCTGTTCTGCAGGATTTCTCCTCTCAATGTGCCTGTGTTTGTTCTACTAGTTCCCACTGCTGCCTGATTGTTAGGTAAAAAGTATAAAAAAAAAACCTTTTTTTTTTCTCTGTCTGGCATTTGTTGAAACATTCTCCACTTGAAATAATTTAAACAGAGCACGAACAGATTCTTCTTCTCTGGTGTGAAAGGTGCCTCTGCTTGGTATCAACCTCCACAAACAGTCTGTGTGTTACCAATCACGGTTAGATCTCCTCTTGCACTGCAGAACGCGGAGGTGAAAGTGTGTGTGTGTGTGTGTGTGTGTGTGTGTGAGGACCGAGGAGGAGGGGTGTGCCGCTCTCTGTAATCCCTCTCAGTCTCTTATCACCTCTCGCAGGGAGAGCAGCAGCGGGGGGAGGAGAAGCCCTGAGTATCAGCAGTGCTCCTCTCCCTACATTATTAAACATCCATATTTCCATATTTCATTGAGCCCCCCGCGCCTCGGCAAATCGCGGTCTACTTAGCATTCAGATGAGAATGGGATTTGGTTAATGGGTATTAGATTTGTAGATGGTTATCCTCTGGCTATGTCTTTAGTACGCAGAGCCAGTCGATCAGTCAGTCGTTGTGCCTCACTCCTCTCCAGTGCCACTGATGAAGTTGTAGTTGGATGTCTTTTTTTTTTTTTTCCCTCTTTGTGTAGTCATACACCAGTTTTAATGAGAAAAAATGAAACTTTTTTTCTTTCCTAACTTGTCCCCATTTCACCCTCTTCATCCTCACAGGTCCAAGAAGGTGACAGCCTTTGCCGCAATGTTACAAAAAGCCTCTCTGCAGAAAAAAGACTTGGAGCTGGAGCTTGAGGAGCTGGAGGACGCAGCAACAATGGTGGTGGAGGAAGAAGAAGAAGAAGGAGACAAAGAGCAGGGAGCTTCCAGGAGCGCTGCGATATCCCGCGGTGACAGCAGCGGCGCTTCCAGTGACAGCAGCTGCAGCAGCAGCAGCAGCGGCTCGTCTGATGAGAGTGAGGAATCTGAGGCTGAAGGGCAAGTCTGCACCGAATCCAACCAGGGAGGAGGAGGAGGAGGAGAGACGTCTAAGGACAACCCTCTCCAGCCCCAACCCACCTCCGCTGCCTCTCCCATCCCCCAGGAGCCAACAAGCACAGTCTCCTCCGCGGAGAGGAAAGTGGACGCCCTCCCCTCAGCTTCAGAAGACACCCGACAGCTGATCCAGGAGCTTGGGGAGCGGGTGGTGGAGGAGCTGAAAATCTCTCAAGACTCCAGCTACAAAGCAGGGAGAGAGCGTTCACAGCTGAGCACCGCCGAGGCAAAGGCTGGAGCAACATCTGGGAAGAGCAGCGGTGGGACTTTCTTAGAGCTGAGCCCTCGCAGAAACCCTCTGCTCATCGTCCACACACAGGACGACCCTGATGACAGTGACTTCATCAGCTGATAGAGAGTGAAAGCCACTCGATGAACTGAAATTAACTCCATGTAAGTGATGTAAGAAAATGTGTCAGACTTTGTTTTTGTTTCTATTTTTGGAATTTTGAATACTTCTGCTTTGAGTTGTGAGACCAAGCCAAGATCTTCGGCTTTCACCCTCCTCCGAAGGACCTTATTTTCCATCTTGGATTACATCTTCTGAATCCTTGGTCTTGTCTTGTGTTGTTTGACTTTTGTGCGACTGCTGCTCTGTAGCCAAGCTTCCTACTTGCTATACAGCTCCATTTGTAATTTCTGAACATACTCTGTTTATATGAATTATTTCTGCTCCTTTTTAATTATTCAAGGTAATTCAACAGCATCTGCGAACACATGATAATAATGTAGAACTTCTCTACTTCGCATGTACATTCACGTACTCATATGAACAAATTCAATCTGTACATCCATGTTGGGCTCGAATAAACGAAACAGGACTGTTTTCTCCAGGAAGCTGACAAACATTTGTCATTGTTCACTGCTGTATATCACTCAGCCGAGGTGCCTGGCAGAGCTACTTTGAAGGAGCTATTCTTTTCCTAATAAATAGTAGGAAAAGCACTGACCCTTTCCTAAAGCCCTGGCATTGATTGAAGAGGAAAAGACTCTGTCGGCACTAAACAGGGCCGCAGAGCACGCGGGAGTGATTGATTCATCTGGCATGAACGGAGGAGCGCCGTCGACACAGCTCAATATCATCGGCCGCGTCTAGCAGGCGAAGAGAAAACGAACAAGGAAGCACATGTCAGGCAGATAGATGAGGGCTGCAACAGGGGCTGCGGCACGGCAGCCGTTTGTTTGAGAGATAAGAGCACCCTGGGGCCCTAGGCAGCCGCGAGATAGAGGAGCAGAAGGCCAACAGAGACAAACTGACACTCTGACCAGCTCAGTCGGGTCCATGTCTGCATGTGCTGGCAGCAGCAGAAAGCAGCACCTCTGTGCAGGGAGGGAAATTTTAAGTTCTGTGTTCCCCTGAGTAGAAAAAGAAATAACAGAAATGACCCAAATTAGCGGCATTTGTCAGGTTTTGTGATCCAAATGGGTCATAAGACTGATCAAGCTCAGCCACAGTGTTGCCTCAGGCTTTTTCAAAGGGAATCCAGTGTGAATGAAACCACCGGTGACGATGGCTCCTTAGGTAGGCACTGTCTGTAGCATTGTGTTACCGAGATGGATGGTGTTGTTAAGCACCTCCCAAGAAGAGACAATCTCCCTGCACCAGCCCCTCGGGAGCAAGCATCATGATCGCTGTGACTGAGATGAGTTACGCTGTGAACGTCGGCCCATTTAAAACCCCCCTTTCATTCCGGGGACATGAGTCCGGGGACTGTGCATCCCCCGCAGGCAGTGGTTCCCTCTCCCCGCTGGGGTTTCACATTGATTAAGTGACACTGGGCTCCGTTGCCGTTTTTCATCTTAAAGTGGCCTCCATATTCCTCCATTAGCGCAGCCGTCTCGGAGCCTGACCGGGGGGGATGAGCGGCCACTTCAGTTGGTTCTTCTGCAATTAATCCCCCTCGCCAACTGACATTCTTCAAGAGACTAGGCCACGTTTTAATGAACGCAGCTGATAAATTATACAAGGCAGTAATTAATGCGATTTCTATGCTCTATTTGGACTTAGATTTGATAAATCAGCGCCGTAACCATGTACTGAGTGTTGCCCTCTGACCCTCAAGGATCTAAGAAAGTGGAATAATGTGTTCAGGACTCATGTAGGCCACCTAGGAAATTAGCCCATTAGCAACAGCACATGTTCAATAATGAGGGTGAGCTCTAGCGAGCCTCATGATATATTTCCTTTTGACCAACCCATATGTGTACACAAGCACTGGCGTACTTTATATGAAGCTGAAGAGTGAAAAAGTAGAATCACTACGGGGAAGATCATCTCTGGATGACACCACAGTTTCCTTCTTGAGAATTTTTCATTTTGCATAGTGGAAACAACATTAATCATTGCGTATGGGAGCTCATTCTTGACATCGGAAAGAGTCGTTTGAAAAAATAACCTTAAAGGAATAATTCAGCATTTTGGTTTATACACTTATCCACTTTCTAGCTGAAATTAAAACAAAAACTCACTATCCGAGTGAGATTCACTGCCCCCTGCCAAGAAAGAGTCTGGCACATAACCGCCCCTGTAAAACCACAATGTGTCGGTTTTACGCTTATAACAATAACATTAGAACATTTTAACTGATGAGCTTTCGTGGTGCTGGTAGGTATATTTTTTTTAACCATTGAACCATGAGGAGTCAGGGTAGCTGTTGCCTTTACTTCCAGTCTTTGTGGTAAGCTAAGCTAACCATCTCTTGACTGTGGCTTTATATTCAGTGGGTAGATTGGAGAGTTTATTGCTCTCCCATCGAGCTCAGCAAGAAAGAGCTTTCTTTCAAAGTCTTTCTTTCACTCAAGGCCCACTTACTAGTTTATTTTTGGAGTTTATCCAATGGAGTCTACCTCATCCCCAACTTCCTCCCCAGCATACGGTTTGACATCAAGAACAAAACGTCTGTAAAAGGACAATTGTAGTTTAGTTTTCTGACGTTGTTATTAGTTCAGAATCTGCTGCTGACCTTCACATCCTGATACACACAAAATGCAGTACAGTATATGAGAGGATCATTACTGAAAGCTCCATATTTTACACTTTTCCTGTTTTATTTGAAGTGTTGATCCATAAGAAGATGTATTTGTGGTTTTAACAACCAAAAACCATCTCAACATAGTTTTACATCTCCTCTGTCAGGTTTCTCCCTGGAGCTGTAGGAACAACAGGTCAGTGAGCCAATCAGAAGAGAGGAGGCTCTGAGCTTTCTCTCACAAAGTTACAGAAGTCCTGACGCCTCATTTTAAGGCTCAGTGTCTGAATACAAGCTGTGTGCATTTCTCTGTGGACTGAGGCTTTGATACTTTCACTGCATTAATATAGAAACTATACCTGATCTATAATCAAACAACACATGGACATCTACCTTTATACAATATGGGAACTAAAATTTCATCTGTTCTTCTGTAGGTGTAGAGAAGGAGAATTTGACCACATGAACTAGACTCATTTGAAATCATTCAGATCGGACGTCTGTGAAGATGAAGTGAATTCATATGTACTGTGACCTCGCTTGCCCCACTGTGAACAGAAATTTCCAAATTCTCTCACTAATGCGAAAATACACTCCCTCTTTTGTGTTTGTTTTAAGCGAGTGAGGCAGCAGCGAGGACGGTGTCGTCACTGCCCCCTCTCCCTGCGACACACTGCCTCTGGTTGATTGTAATAGAAAACTCAATCTCCTCTCCCGCTCCTGAGAGGCAAAGTGATTCTGGTGCTTGAAAAGATTAATAGCCCTCAAGAAGAAATGAATCAGGTGCTCTCCGGGGCCTGACTCGTCCAATGGGCGTGCAAATAGAAATCCTTTTGTGCGCCCTCTTTCTCAGGCAGCTGTGTCGCCCGGTGTGGCTCGGCTCTCCCTTTTTGTGGCCTTCGTACTGTGTCATGTCGCTCCAGGCTTGGCCGGCGAAGAGACGAGGAGCGGCTCCGGCGCTACGCGACTGAGAAGCAGGTGGCCGTTCCCATCAGCTCCATTCTTGGGGCTTTGTAGTCGGCCCTCTTGAAATGACTGGCATATGGTAATGAGGGAACGAGTGCATGGGATGTGTCAGTGTCTGTCGGGCTGACAGCGCTGACAGGGAGGGATTATCTAAATGGGCTATTTTCATGCTCTTAATCACAAAAGAAACAGTGAAATACCCCCTATCCGCAGTGTGTGGGAGCATATGTGTGTGTGCCCGCGTGTTGACAGCGCCGGCATCCACTTGTCGTCAGTAGCGTTGCCTGGCTGATTCACTCTAATTGGTGTGAGCAATGTCCGTTAAATCACTCCCTAACTCTCAGTGGACATGTGCTATCAGGCAGCTTAATGCTGCAAATTGCCTCTGCCATGCTGGAGCTGTGTGTGTGTGTGTGTGTGTGTGTGTATATATATGAGCGAGAAAGCCTCTCATCTTTATACCACCTTGTTAAGTGCGCCGAGGTTTGCAGGGACGTTGTTAAAGTGTTAAGGTAGAGGAGAATCACCTGGAAGAGTAGCCTTGACTTCAGACTCTGACCTGCTGAGATCTGAATGGACATTATAAACTCTTCCACTTAGTGCACCACAATGCTGCGGGTCCTGAGGACTTGACGGCCGAGATGCAGCACAGCTCGGCATAATTTCACACTGGTAAACAACAGCACATTTCTAATGAGGCTGCCTCTACAGTGTGGTGTCTCGAGCCCGCTCTCCTTTTGTCCACAACAGTTGCTCCTTATCTGAGCCAGTTCACGCACGAGCGTCGTGTCTCCACGCTTTTTCCAAAAGAGCTCCGGTCTTGTGTTTGTTTTCATAGCTAAAACAGCTGTCAAACACGATTAATATTTCAGTGAGAGACTGTGCTGGAGGGAACCTCTAAGTGCTAGGGGAGTTGGAAACAACAAACCCAACGCTGTTGCTTTCTGGCGTTCTCCTTCTTCGGCTGCGGCTGCTGTATATATATTCACCGCTCGCTCTCTCTCTGCTTTCATGGAGCTGAGCGGCTCTTTTATGACTCCTGAAACGCAGCAGCGCAGGATGGAAATCAAAATAAACTGGGGAAAGCTCTCCTGGATGGTGTCAACAAGCTGTTGGTGTATCACTTCATTTCAAGCTGTGGGAGATTGAACAATCATCGGGCAGACTCTTTGATATTTTCTGTTCAGAGGCAGGCAGATGAGAGCTTTGTACGGGGGGGAAAAAACAGAGGAAAGCTCTGAGCCGAACCTCCGAGGCAGTGGCTGTGTTTGCTCTGCCTTATGTCCACGGGACGGTGCCCTTTAGCCTCCGTGTGAAGTCCACGTTTCTGCCCCTCTTGGCTCAGCGCAGAGCCTTACACTAATGATGCCTCACGGATGTTGGTGTGTTGCAACCAGACGCTGAACAAAGGTTTCTCATGCTTGTACTCCCCGAGCGTTGTGTAGACAAGCTCCCCTGACATTACCAACACAAGATCTTGACACAGATAAAAGCGTGTGCTTTCACGTCAACACAGAAACACACTGGGCTCCTTGTCTGGATTTGCTCGCTTCCATTGACATGCACTCAGCAAACAAATGGACTTTCCACCCTGATCACAGCCGCTGAAGCAAAACACAGCTTCATCCTGCCATGTTTCATCCTCCACCTCCACGGCTCTCTTCCCACTTAGTCCACCGTACGTCCTTTAACCTGCTCTTTCTATTTCATGCTCTGCCTCTCACACACACACACACACACACACACACACACACACACCCTCTCACTTGTGGCCTTGTGTCTTATCTCCACCCGGCTTAAATTCACTTTCTTTGGTGATGGTGGTGTCAGCCAACTCATTTGCCGTCCCGCCCAGTCGTGCAGCATTTCCAGCCCCTCTCCTTTTCACCCCTA